TCAATTTGTAAATCCACGAACTGTGTCTCTGAGCTGCTTTTACCTCGCACTAGGACGCCATCCCACCGCTTGCCACCAATGTAACGGATCGCCTGGCACCCCGACTGGGTACCTCCGTTGAAGGACGCTCCTAGCGCTTCCTGAGGACTCCAAGCACTGCAGCAGACACCACAACCACCGAACCGGAGAAGCATATGAATCCTCTCAAGCATAGAATGCTGTAGACAGTTGAATAGGAACCATACGAATAGGTTTACTCTCAGCAGTCAAACTGGAACAGCATACAATAAATCCTTCCCCCAATAATGAGACGACACTTCACTTTGAGGGTTAAAACAGGAACTCCCTGTACTGTCACATACAGTCTCTTTTATTCCCAATCCACAAACATAGTACAGCCCACAGGGCGTTACAAAACAACCAATCACATCACAGTTACATCCCACATATTCCCTCCCCTTATCCTGAGAGGAAACTCAATTACATACAGTTAAAACATACTTTCTACCCAACTTTCATAACTCTAAAACCATACATCACATTCACATAAAATTACATATTCACAATCAATCCATTCAGGGGAACAACATATTAAAAAATGGCACGAATCAGACCAGGGGTTCAAAAGTTAAGGGAAAGTCCTTTGTGACTAATTGAAGCATGGCTTTCTGGCCCAAACCAGTTTCAGAGTCTTCTATCCTGGAGAGTAATTCAATTATCTCCCAGGACAGACACAAGACTCCATTAAGCACATGGTTGCAAAAATACACAAAACACTTTAAAATACATAAAGTAACCTTTTCACATAACACACAGACATTTCACATATCCCCAGATAGCTGGGATCTGAGCGCACAAAACTACTGAAGAGCGTTCAGATCCTATTCACACAGTTCAATTGCTATGGATCCGAAGTCTTTACAGTCAGTTTCATACGAATGGGCTCCATGGGATTCCTATCTGGGGTATAACACATTCTCATAAAGTCTGGTCCATAGTCCAAAGGCAAGAGGCGGGCAAGCAGCCCCCTCCAAGGACACGTGGCGAGGCCGGTTTCGCCACATTGGACCTTCATCTTTTTTTTTTCTATCAAAGCTTATCAAGGTTCTCAGAGCCATGCAGAGTGGAAACTGTTGTGAACAGCGGAGATGAAAAACTGGCGAAGTAAGAGATATTTTGACTGTGAAACGTCAAAGATGTGATTATAGCAGGAAATAAACTAGTTCTGTGGAACAAAATTCTTCTTGTTCTAAAGTGCATTGTGCATGTGTATTCTCCCCGGTCAATGGCTGTCTGGAAAGGGAACTTTAGAAAACAAGATGTATGGGCCTTCCTACTTTGTTTTACATGTGACACATGGGCAACATTGAAGAAGCCTTGTATCTAATGTTGTCAATAATCATCTGGGTGGAGCAGGTCACCACCTGAGAATGTAACAAGCTGGTCCACAGCAAGCCCAGAGATTTTTTCAACATAGGCCCCTATTTAATATTTTTGCTTTTCAAATGATTTAATATGTTTGGATAAACAATATCAAATATCAAAAATCTCATAAAAATATAAATGCATAAAAAGCATCAAAATAATAAAATATTTAATTATTTTTTCAAACTATTCAATAATTCTAAAAGTTAATCCAAAAATATTGAATAATTTTAAAAGTTAAAAAATATATATATATTAAATCAGGGCAATAGACAGTCTTTGAAAAGACCAGGATTGGGGGACCCCTCCTTGACCTCATGCTTTGTTTACCTCTTCAATCTGACCCTTGGTTTATTTGTTTGCCCATTCTGCCTCCTATCAATTGTGGGAATGTATGCATAAATATATCATTTTTAATTCTGTTTATAATTGATAAAAAATTATTGTATTTGCTTTTTTCATTTAATAAAGTTGTGACATTTCTCCAAAATTAACAAAAGTGTTTTTCTGCATTCAATGTCCATTAAGAGTAACTTATCTCACTAATTGGGATACCTGTGTATGCTGCCACAGAGATAAAATTAACTTTTCTCCCATCCCTAGTTCCTCTATTGGATAGTACCTCTCCTCAAACATGTCAATGTCTGTTCTTGATCCTCTAGAATTCTTTGGTATCGGAGTATTCTTCTCTGTCATGTTGCCATTTCAATTTTGTATATGACAACGTGTTAATGCTGCTTGTTTTCTAATTTAAGGGACAAATACAAAAAACATTATTTGAGCCAGATAATCACAGATGGAAAATGGATCTATGTACCCTAACAGTTGCCAGGAACCATTTGCATGTTAGTAGATAATGGCATGAAACTAGTTCTGAGTGTTTTCTATTTATAGAAAAATATGTTATATTCAAATGATACAGACTTTCTCAGACACTAATTATGCAATTTATTACTGTAAAATTAGCATGTCTCCAGTATTTGGCATGTTTCTGCTAACCTTTAGCATCTGGGCATGTGTCTGTCTTGCAGTGCATCCAATCTGAAATATCACAAATGCTTAAAGGGGCACTCCAGATGCCTAAAGCTCTTTAGATTGCTGAAAAGCTTTATGCGTGAGGAGTGTGTCCTCTTTTTTTATTTTTGCAATTGTGCAGATTTCACTAGCAATTGACAGTTTCATAAATTATACTGGTTACACCCCCTGGCTTTTCAAGCAGAAAACAGGTAATGTTACTTCCTGGTTTACTTAGCTTATTTGCACTGAATTCAAGCAGCTGCAATTACTCAGAGCATCTGCCTTACAAAGACTTTTTTTTGGAGCTGCATTGGGAAGTCTGTGATTGGACAGTCACATAAAGTCTTTGCAGGGTTAGAAGAGGTGGGCTTGCAAAGGCAGCAGACAAGAGATCTCCATTCTTGCAAGCAGTTTTTTGATATAACTCCAATAAAAAATGCATAATTAAATGCATGCAAGTTTTAATTTGAGGTACATCTACAGTAATTTTTATTTGTTATGTTTTTGGCAATCAGGTGCCCCTTTAAATATTACAAATGCTACAATAATAGAAAATTCACACAAAATAATTTGTTCACTTTGTAGCTGTCTTTCTTGTATCTACAGTGGATATATTGTCTTTAAATTGGGTAATAATATTTGCACCATGGAAAGTAACTAGTACTGCTGACCAATGTGTGAGATTGCAATACTGATTCTATATGAGAGTCAAAATAAAATACTTATTTCATAATTTTTCTTATTTATATACTACCAGTATAGTTTAAAGTGTGTTTTAATTGCAGTGAAATTATTGCTTTCATAACAGGGTTTTCTGGGTGACTTATTGAAGAAATTGTGTAGTTTTCGACTTTTTTAAATTATGTAATTCAATAATATTATGAACAGCTAATAATTCACAGAATTCTAAGGATTAAATTAAAGAGTATGAAAGATTTTCCAGTATACTGATTACTGAGTGCACTGGTTTCCTGCAGCAACCTCTAAAGCCTTGAAACGGAATTCCAAGAGACTCACCTACAGTATCTCTTAAGAGGTAATTATTCTTATATCCTGCATGCAGTTTGTTATCTTGTGCATGCACAACAGTAAATAATGTGTAAAACAGTGAAGCACTTGGGATCATGTACTCTGCATGAATATGGTTTTGTTATTTTGTTTAGCATGCTTAAAGTGAACATTTAATTATGAAATGTATATTTTTCCACTTTTTTAACCACTTTTTTCTCTTTTTGATTTTTTGCAGAACCATCTCAGATGGAACCTTTGCAGGACGAACCATGAATTACTAAGTCTTGATAATAAGGGACAATTGACCACTTCGGGGAGAATGAAGTCCAATGTGTTTATTTTAATTAGAATATATTGCCAAAGTTCTGGAACCACTGGTCTTCTCCCTCCTACATGGCTGTTTGAGATGGAATGCCACAGTGAAAAATAATTGGTCTTGAATTTCCTGCTTAAACACTTAATCTAAAAACTATGATCTCAGACATTTGGGTGAGGATCTTTGGGGCACAGATGCTTCCTGCAATAGCTTTGATACTGTCCTTCGAATCAATATCTATCGGATAACTTAAATTTAGCAATCTGGCAGCCTGGCACTGCAGAATTCTCCTATCACTCTCTTTTCTCCTCCCCTGTGAGTCACTCAATTACACAATAGCAGTGGCCTCTAACAGGCAGAGAAACAGAGCACTATGTGCTGTAATCAGATGCTCTCTTGTTACCACCTGTCATCACAGCCTCATTGCGCCTCGTTCCTGTTGAGCTGATGGACATTGACAATGAAAATCAGGGCCAGTGTCGTGCAGATGTAGAAGTCTCCATCAAGGGTCCGTCCGTTGACCGGCAAACTATATTTACATTAGGAGTAGGCTTGTAGGCTTAGAACCCTGCTCCCTCTTCATCTAGATTATTTACAAGTGTATTTATTTGTTTCACCTGCTACCCACAATGCCATGTGCTTACTGGTTATAGCCTAGAGACTTATCTACTGCAACTGGTACCTCTCACTTCTGACTACTGTTAATCCTAATTTTGGGGACCTAGGCCTTGCCATCTATGTTAGCACTCTGATGTGCTCTCTTAAGGAAAACTCCAAGCACTATAACCACTACGACACATAGTGTAAGTTGTCATACCAGTTTAGAGTGGTTTGATTTTTTTTTTGGGTCCACTGGGTACCAATCTCTTCCTCCAATTCTAACGATGGACAGCTCCTATGCAGCCGATTCCATCAGCTCTCCTGATAAAAGCCCTGAAGTTCAGGGCTAGATCATTGCCTGAGAGCATCTGCTTATTGCTCTAAGCCAATGGGCTTACCTCAGACAGAGCATTCAGCTTTTTGTCTGAATTAGTGAAGGCAGGGAGCAGGGGTGCCTGATAGAAGCCACCACAAATAATATAGCTGGTACATGGTAATCAAAACATTACCTCATATTCTAGACTTGAACAGGAAAATAGTCTGAGACCTTATACTATGCATCCCCAGATGAACCCAAAAAGGTCTTCAGTTAGGGACGTTCTTCATAGGAACTCAGGGATTGACAGGCACCTTGACAAGCAAAGAGAAGTCTTAAATGCTCCTATAAAGCAGAATTAAGTCTGTTAGCTTTGCTAAAAATATGGAAAGTCCAAGGGCCAAACTGGTTTCTGGATGCTTACTATAAAATCCTTAAGGGGCATGAGACTGCTCTACTCAACAAAATCAATGTAGACAAAATTTTGTTAAAAAAAACTATTACTGATTCAAATGATTTTACCAATTCAACCAAAGATCAGATCCAGATATAGTTTCACAGGCTAATCACCATCATAAGCCATAACTTTAAACAGCTGATACAAATTGTAGCTACCCAATTGCAAACTATTTTACCACATATTCTACACCCACAACAGTTGGGTTTTATACTGAGGTACTATTTTATCCAAGGAATTTGCAGTGCCTTATCATCTCAACTTGATCTGAAATATTATTTAACATTTCACACTGAGTACATATTCTTATATATGCCTGGAATGTCACTGACAGGAGACTGACCCAGTGATTCCCAAACTTTTTAGGTTCAAGGCGCCCTTAATATTTCAATATTTTTCCAAAGCACCCCAAGTCAAAATGTCTAGGTTGTATATCTGTACAGCGCTACGGCATTTACTGGCGCTATAGTGTAATGTACAGTGTTGGTGTTTGAAAGGGTGCTTGTTTATAGTTTGTGATTTAATACAGGGGTGTGTTTGTATGTAATGTTTGTATCTGAATGTAATGTTCACTTTTTTTTTTTAACCTTATTTTTGTGGTGCTTTGAAGGAACAACATGCAAGTAAAGACATTTTGACAATCCAAGATTAGCATGAGAGAAAAACATTATATGTCAAGGTTTAAGCAACATTTTTTTTTATAATATAAGAGGAATATGACAGACATGTCTAAGTGAGGTTGCAAAGAATAACAAATGAACATATTTCTGCTCTAGACATGGAGATTAAAGTTAAGGTTAGTATGTTAGTAGGTGTAACAGAAGTAACTGGAGTATTATTCAGCTGGAACCAGAGGCCCGTATGACATGAGAGCGTGCCCGTAAGGTATAATAGGACAATTAATCGACTCCCTGACTAGGTAGGGTTTGGTAGTACAATGAGCGTCCGCTTGTGGGAGCGACAGGTAAGTTCACCGCGCCATCTCTAGACCCGATAGGAGCTCTTTCTAGGTGTGCTACTGTGTTGTACTTTAGAGCAGCTCTGATGATGGCGCCGTCAGGCTAGTCTAGCTGACTCCCTCCGCTGTGGGTGGTCTGTCGGCGCTACCTTCCAAAGAGTCCTCAGTGGAGGTAGGCAGATGATGTGAGTAGCAAGTGCTGTAGTCGCAATTCCGCTTGGGACATAGCGCTCACTCCATGCTCCATTTCGCTCAAGTTTGTTAACTGTGGGCAGGATGCTTGGGACAGCCGACACCTCTGGCCTCTTCTGTGTTGCCCAGTCATTTGAGGACAGCATCCAGTTAAGTCATGGTTCGGGGTTGCCAGCCCTGCATTTTTCCTGTTCCGGTGCCATGTCCCGTGTATTAGGGACATGTGGAGCGGCCATCTTGCTTAGTGTGGTCTGCAGGGTGAGTAACCACTGCAGGACTGCAGTTCTCGAGACCAGCGGGAGGCCGGTATAACCCCCACCGGCCCACATGGGGGAGATATGGGGCTTTGGATGCGATCACGACAGGCAGGTCAGGAAATGGGAGACCGGCTGCTTCCTCCGTCAACTTCCCACACCAGGCCTCAAGTTTTTCCCATTGGACGATACGCTGGCAGATCTGTGGTTAAGTTTTCAGTTGGAGGTGCATAAGATCCTTTACTCCTAGACTACCCTCAGCTGGAGCAAGAAGTCGGCGTCAAAAGTAGTTTAATTGCAGTGTGAGTGAAAGTGCCGCGGAGCTCATGGACCATGCATCTTTCCAGCTTGGCGGTCACGCCCCACCCCCCATAATGTTCACTTTTTAATGCGGATGTACATTTGTGTGACGTATTTGTGTTTGCGTGAAGGGGTGTGTTTGCCATGAGTTTTTGGAGAGGCCTGCTGCCAGCTGCCTGCCCTGTGACTATGGCCCCTGGGGTGTATTGCCATTTAAAAAGTCTATTTGGGCTTATTGGATTTTTAAAACACTTTTTCTGCCCCTTTAATTCCATGGGAAAATGTGCCTCTTTACCTCCCCCTTTTCCTGTCCTATTGTTCTCCAGCAAGGCGTTGTCCCAGGTACACTGCCAGACCAGTTGAAACTGGCTGCCTTGTCCCTCCTCAATCTCTCATCAGCCCTTGATATTGTTTAACCCCATGGCAATCCAAATGTATTCTTGGGATCTGACATATTGAGCACTCAGATCCAAGCTATCTGAGGATATGTTGGACAGAAAGGTTAAACATTGTATTATATGAGTTATGTATTTTTATGTAGTTTTTGTAACAGTTTTTGGACTTGGAGATAATTGGCTTACCCCAGACACTTAAGTCAGTTATCTCCAGGATAGAGGAGAAGATCGTCCGAAAAGGCCTAAATCTGTGGAACTGTTTTGGGCATGAAAGCCATGCTTGCCTTCGGTCAAATGTGACTTCCATAAAACCTTTGAGCCCCTGCTCTGGGTGATTTTTGGAAATGTTGTTCACCCAGATCAGGGCTATCCAGGGATGTAGGATGGGGATATGTTGCTGTTTTGTGGTGTTTCTGTATTTCTGTGATTTGGGTAAAAACTGTATATTTTCTGCCTGTGATAATTAAGTTAGCCCATTGTGTTCAGTAATTGTATCACAGGCAGAGGGGAAGGTTTGTGTGCCTTAGCTGGGAGTGGTTGACTATACTGTACTGTGTTGATTGACTGTTGTAACTTTGTGTCCTGTTACCACACACGTGGACCTTGTGGGAAAATGTGTATTTAAGAAAGTCCTGTGACATTCCCGCGCCTCTACTGTCTGCGAGTGAACAGGAAATGGAAGGTTCTATTCTCGCCTGATGCAGCTCAGTTCAGTGTCATTGGGGCAAGAACTTTTCACACCTTCTGACATGGCACATCATGTCAAATTTATAATGCCTACTCCTAGCTGAACATATATCTATGTTGACTTTTTATTAAAACAATAACGTGTTCAGCCTTTCTGTACTTATATTTTCCTACTTGTCTTTTTTACATTATTTTATGTGTATGTGTATTGTTTTTAGATTTCTATGGTTTCTGGGTCATTCAACTATTTACTTAAAACACCTATTTTTGTTCCAATAAGTGGTTGTAATGTGTTTTCAATAAATGTACAATTGTTCCACTTTTTCTATTTTCTATAACAATTGCTTATTATGGACTACCCAAAAATGTAAACAGCAATAAGAATATCAGAATACAGTGGTCAAAATGGCTAACAGTGTTTACACAGCATATTGTAGTTGAACTTTGATCAAAATTCTCTGCCCTAGTACGCCTCCCACTTAAAGGACCACTCTAGGCACCCAGACCACTTCAGCTTAATGAAGTGGTCTGGGTGCCAGGTCCTTCTAGGGTTAACCCATTTTTTAATAAACATAGCAGTTTCAGAGAAACTGGATCTGGAGTATAAAATTCAGAGAAACTGCTATGTTTATTAATGGGTTAAGCCTTCCCCCAAAGCCTCTAGTGGCTGTCTCATTGACAGCCACTAGAGGCGCTTGCGTGCTTCTCACTGTGATTTTCACAGTGAGAGCACGCCAGCGTCCATAGGAAAGCATTGCCGCGCGTGCGCATTCAGCCGACGGGGCGGAACGGAGGAGGAGAGCCCAGCGCTGGAAAAAGGTAAGTTTAAACCCCTTTCCCCTTTCCAGAGCCGGGCAGGAGGGGGTCCCTGAGGGTGGGGGCACCCTCAGGGCACTATAGTGGTCCTTTAAACATAGAGTATCCAATTCCAAAGGTAATGTTGCAAAAAGGAAGGTGTTTAATCAGGATCAGGACAACAAAATTACATACAAAATTGCCCATGATCCTGAATAAAACCCCTTCCTATTCGCACTACTCTGTGACGCCTTTGAAATTTGATTTGAAATTTAGGGTAACCTGGGAATTTTTATATTTCAGAGAAACGCTTTGTTTTTAAAGAGGAGCTGTCACTTTCAGAGAAGTGACAGATCCTCATTGTTTCATCCTAGTAAACTCTGAAATAAAGAAGTGGAGGTAAGTATAAAATGTACTGGAACCAGAAAATAGAAAGCACAAAATAAATAATGAAATCTATATAATCTAGACCCAAAAAAAGCACTTCCCTGTAAATGATAAAATCCAAGGAAATCTACTAAACTGGTAACAGTCAAGAACTAAAATAAAGTGTTTATACTGAGGGTTAATTATAAAACTCGCACAAATTTATGTGCAACAAGGATAGCACTCATAAGGATACCATTGCCAGCATCAACCAATACGTTTTGCATAAATGTTCAACGTTTCTGTAAGCAGATAATCCACTGTATATCGGGATTCCTGATAGTGATATTACCACACTCCACAATGTAAAATGTAAAATATACTCACCTTCTCTGTACTTCTGTATTGTAGCAATCTGCTGGCCTAGGATGCCTCAGACATGCGCATGTCCACTCAGTATCTAACCAAAAACATTCTGTACGTATACCATGTGTTGGGCATACTGCCTAACAGTACTGGACGTGTGCATGTAAGCACTGCAAGCACTTACTAATTTACTTTGCTGAGCTTTTTGCAACAAAGCATGTAAGTTAAAATAAAATAAACCTTTAAAATTAAGGAAGTGATAATTATATTTTCAATGAGAACCTGCATAAAACTTAAAAAACAGGTCTATGGAGAGAATGAAATGTCTTAATATTCCAGTACTGGAGAATTGTACCCAGTCTTTTTATCATAGAGCAAGGAAATAGAGTCTAGTGATGAAAAGGTCCACCACTAGACCAAGAGGTTTTCGCCCTAATAAAATAAGTATGAATTTTGAATTCAAGGATACCCTTGAATGCTAAAGGGTTTGTTCATTAAAAAGTGAAATAAAGTGAATTTCAATAATGATTTGGGGAAATTGGAAAAGGAGAATTTTCCAGTTCAGCTATTTTGGCCCAGATTTAGCAATTCCCTTGCCGATCACATTGTAAAGTGCCATGGCTGAGCACTATGTGCGGGCTTGCTGGCTCTTGTCTCAACTCAGACCACTGATAGTAGAATTGTTATATTGTAGCAGTCTTTCAATTTAGGATATTTCTGATAGTTTATATGACACTTTTTTTAAATTTATTTTTTTACTATTTATCTGTAGAGATACTGTTAGCATGTTGTAGATAGTACTTTTAAATTCAGTTATACCTTTTACCAGCTGCACGTTCAAAGTACCAGAGAACAATATACAATATTAGAGGTTACATTTTAAGAATGCAATGAACCTGTTCAAAAGTCTTGAGTTAGTACCTTACCGTATAATTAGGGAAAGTGCTTAATTGGATATATTGTGGGACTAATCCACTTTTCATCATAATTTATGAGTACTTTTTGATGATTTTATTTAAAATTAATTTTAGGTAGGTGACTCAGGTTTTAACATATTCTGGTCTAAGCCTAGTATTTAGTTTCACTTTTAGTTCTAGTGTTAAACGTTTCAATAAAGTTTCTTGTTTTTGTTGATTGAAACGACTCCCTCTTTTTCAGTAGCATCCATCCAAAGGTCAGTTGGATGATATTTAAGAACGAGTTTCATATTTGCCAGGAGTTGACATTTATTTGTATGTTGGAAAATATCTATATTTCACTGGTATTTTAAAATAAGTACAATCAGAAAGAAGGAAAACAACATAAAATGTACATTATCATACACAGATAAAGATGAAAATATGTGTCATATATATAATTTAGTATAATGAATATAATTAAATATCAATTGTAAAAAAAAAAATGCTTGATTGAGACCATGATATAATTTGAAATTCAAATGATATACTGTCCCTGTGTACAGTTTTTGAGTGTGCTCCTTTAAATAATGTCTAAGTTTGTATGTAATGCAGGCTATCTCATGAACCTTTATGCTGCAATTGTTATTAAATGCATGCAGGAGTGCATGCATTAATACTATGCACAATAAATGTTTAGTAGTGGTCAATTCCTACACAGTTCACAATTTGCCTAATTGTACGTTTCTTGCTTATAAGAATCAGAGTGCAATTTTCCAGTTTTGTTGCGCTTTTAGTGCATTCGGAAAGTACTCAGACATCCATTATGTAACATTTTTTATATTGTAGCTTTATATAAAAATTGTTTAAATTAACATTTTTTCACATCAATCTACACAAAAGACCCAATTACAATTATTTATATAATGCAAACATATTCCACAGAGCTGTACAATAGGAAACAAGGCAAACATGTATGATATGTGGTAACAGTAGGTGAAGAGGGCCTTGCCCAAATGAGCTTACCAATAATAATAAAGCAAAAAACAGATATTTGAAAACTGAAACATCACTTTGATATGCTTATTTGCTATGACACTTAAAATTCAGCTCAACTGCATCACATTACTCTATCGTCTTTGAGATGATTCTACACTTTTATTTGAGTCCGTCTGTAGCAAATCCAATTGATTGTACATGATTTTGAAAGCCACCTGTCTATAAGGTCTTACAGCTATAAATGCATATCAAAGCAAAAATTAGGAACTGCCTGCATAGCTCAGAGACAGAATTGTGTCAAGACACAAATCTAGGGAAGGCCACAAAAAACATTTTGTCTGCATTGAAGTTGCCTCCATAATGTTCAAATGGAAGAAGTTTGGAACTCTTCCTAGTAAGCCTAGGACTGATAATGTAAGAAATACTAGACTAGGGTGTGGTGGTAGGGAACTCTAATACTAATAGAATAAGCAGGGTAATTTGCCTCTCTGATTGCATTAACCAGACAGTTTGCTGTCTCCTGGGTGCTCGGGACTGACATGTTGCTGACGCCTGGAGAGGACCCAGCTGCCATGATCCATATAGCTACAGAACGTTATCTCCAACCTTGGGGTTGAGCGTAATACAGCATTACTAGGTATCTCAGGTGTGTCTAAGTTACCTGGGTCCAGTGTGGGTGTTACAAAGAGGAGGTCTAATCACCATTTTTAAAGTACCTGTATGTTTATAAATGCCTAAGGTGCTGTGACTAGAATTTACCCTTGAAAAAGGCTCTATAGCTGAACGTCGGGTGTGTTTCTCTGTCGTCTTGTCAGGTAATATTGTACAGCAATCAGATTACTTTTGTAACTTATATTTTCTTGTGTAATCAATTAATAATTTTTTGTATCAATTTCTTTGTATTATGTATATATGTTGAATACTTTTTTTTTTTTATTCTTTATTTTTCCGTGCATGAAAATAACAAGCATTTGTAATGTGCCACAACAGCACGCATATTTTATCCATCAAGATTTATACCTCAAATAATCTGCCCAATACATAAGTATTCAACATGTACAAGCTATATGTTTAAAAATGTTTATAGCTTGTACATGTTGAATACTTATGTATTGGGCAGATTATTTGAGGTATATACCCTATTACTATAGGTATACATATATGAATTGGTATTTTAATTTTGTATTGAAATAAAGTTTTACATTTTATTATTATTGATTTTGGTTGTGCGGTATTTCTTTAATTGTATGATTTTCTACGTACCACTAGAGGGGGTGGTTAAAATACCTTTTGCACCCTATACTTTAATTACATGGTGTACATTTATTGGTTACCCCTACTGACTTTATTTTTAATGTTCCATATAGTTATCAATGACAAATTCAGAGGAAGTGGAAGATAATAAAGAATGAGGTCAGGAAAATAGGAAATTAACAGAGGAAAATTACCTTACTAATGCTTACTAATGCAATGAGCCTAAATAAATTGTGGGAATAGCATGCAATATGACATGATAGGCATAACAGAAACATGGTTGAATGAGAAACATAACTATGCAGTTAACTTAATGTCTACTCATTATTTTGAAAGGATAGAAAGAATAGGAAAGGTGGAGGGTTATGTTTGTATGTCAACCATGAGTTAAAGCCAGACATTAGTGGTATGTGATTAGGAAAATGTGGAAGCTTTTTGGGAGATATCTGCTTGGGGCAAGAAGGAAAAATCAGTTATAAGCTGAAATATGCTTTAAACCACCTAAAAAAAACATTTAAAAAGTCAAATTTCAATGAAATAATGCAGCTTTACAACTTATTGACTGGCATAAAGTCTTTAGTGAAAAAAGTGAGGATGAATAGATCTTCAAAAATATATTAGAATATATTATGTACACTTCTCAGTATATACCATTGGGTAACAAATATAAAATAAACTGATGTGACTTAGTGGTAAGATAAGCCAGGAAATGTAAAATAAGAAAAGGGCATTAAAATTTAGAAAAATCTGAGGCATCCTATGTATGATATAAGGAAACCTATAATGTATGCAAAGAGTTGATTAGATAAGCTAAACTAGAAAAATGAGAATGTATTGAGAAGATAGCCAAAGGTTTTTAAGTGCCTACATTCTAGAAAAAACCCAAAACAGAACAAAGAATGAAGATCAGGAAAAGGCAAATATTTTAAATAATTATGTTTCTTCAGTATATATTAAGTAGCAACATATGGCAAGATATATGTTATATGATCGCTGCACAAAAGTTGCAGAATATTGTGATTGGATTGCTCAAGACAAGGTGCTGATGCAACTAAAGAAAGTTAATCTAAAAAAAGACTGTGGAAATAAGCGTTATACGAATATATTCGGAGCCAATACAAATCATGGTTTGGAAATCTACTCATAAACAGGACTATATATAGGACACAAGGTCACGCATTTAGACTGGAAGTAGTAGATTTAGTTTACATCAAAGGAAATGGTTCTTTACAGTAAGAACAATAAGGATGTGGCATTATCTGCCTGAAGAGGTGGTTTTACCAGAGTCTGTACAGATATTTAAACAGTGACTACAGAAATACATAATATTCATGGATATAATTTTTAATATGTGGAGTGACAACTTCTTAATCCAAGGAGATATTTGACTGCCATTCTAGGGTCCAAGAAGGATTTTTTTTCTAGTTTGTAGCAAAATTGGAAAGCACTTCAAACATAGTTTTTTTTTGCCTCCTTTTGGATCAACAGCAAAAACCGATGTGAGAAAGGCTGAACTTGATGGACACACATATCATTTCAGCCTATATAACTAAATTAATTTACTGTGTAATAATACTGCAACATGAAAATAAAAAGCTGAATACTTTCTGAATGTACTGTATATTGAAGGGTTCTGGAAACTTTAGTGAATACATAACACACCACAGCAATTTCTATATATTGTAATGGGTATTATTAAATAGATGGTTTGCTTTTTTTATTTTATTTACAGAGAAGCTTTCAGCAGAGTTTGTGAAGCTGTTCCAGGTACCAAAGGAGTCTTCAAAAAACGAAAGGTACAGTTTGTTGCCATTTTGTAATGAACGCATTGATCATTCACTATAGTGTAAATTGTCATGAATTAAATGTGAATTTCAAGTTTTATGTCAAAATAGCCATTGCTTTTGTTGTAATAACTAACAACCTTTCCGTTTTTCTGACATGGGCCCTGATTTAATAAGCTTGGCAAATGATTCCTTACTGTTAGGAGAACTTTCCAAATGTTTTATCTGCAAAGAAACAACAACAACCAAAAACAGATTAAAGGACCACTATGGGCACCCAGACCACTTCAGCTCAATGAAGTAGTCTGGGTGCCAGGTCCCTCTAGTTTTAACCCTGCAGCTGAAAACCTCACTGACAGCCGCTAGAGGCCGCTTCTGCGATTCTCACTGAAAATCACAGTAGGAAGACGCTGACGTCCATAGTAAAGCATTGAGTAAAGCTTTCCTATGGGCGGTTTGAATGCGCGCACGGCTCATGTCGCGAATGCGCATTCGGCGCGGACGTCGGCACGAGGAGGAGAGTTACCCAGCGCCGAGGGAGCCTGGGTTTGGAGAAAGGTAAGTGGCTGAAGGGGTTTTAATACCTTCAGCCTAGTGGGAGGGGGGCGATTAGGGCGGGGGGGGGGGGAACTAAGTACTACATAGTGCCAGGAAAATTAGTTTGTTTTCCTGGCACTATAGTGGTCCTTTAAGTAATTGGCTTATAACTATTAAGTAATTGGCTTATACTATTAGTAACACCTCAACATAAAAATAATTCCCATGCAAAGATGTACTGGAATAGGGTTGTAAAGCCTTGTCCAATACAGAAAAAGAGGACAACACTATAATAAATAGAAGCAGTCTTAAATAGAGAATGAAATAAAAAGGAAGTACCTGACCAAAATCTGGAAAAGAAAATCCAGGAAAGGTAGGCACATAGAAGGCTTAAAATACAAATCTTTATTCCACAGATGAGCAAAGAAAGCCTTACCTCATTATAAAGGACCTGCTGAAGCATATCAAATCAGGGGTAATCAGCTAATGAGAAAATAAAAAACAGACAAAAAAAAACCCCAAAACATAGACTTTAATGGTGAGTTTGGTGGATAAATCATTTGGATAGTTTTTTTTTTAACAGTATTGAATTATTTGGAAAGCAGTTGATAGAGAATGAGATATGACATTGTTCATTAAACTGTGCAATAGAGGAAACGTTTAAAAAAAAATCTCTCTTTACAGGAAGTATGTAAGGAGGCTGTGTAAGTCACAGACAGGATGTGTGTGGCTAGTTCTGCATAAACAAAGCTTCTGGATCGACTACCCTTTACTTGTCTGACATGTTTTCTCAACTCTAACTCTCTCCTTGGCCCTCTGCAATCTAGCTTCCGCCCCCTCCATTCTACTGAGCCTGAACTGACTAAAATAACTAATGAGCTAATCATGGCTAAATCCAAAGGCCACTACTCCATGCTAATTTTTCTAGACCTCTACTTCCTTTAACATGGTTGATCATGCTCTCCTTGTTCAAACTCTTCACAACATCAATGTCCATAACACTGTCCTTGTCCTATCTCTCCCAATGTTCATTAAGTATTTCCTTTTTTTAATAACACCTCCTCTCCTCATCCTGACTGAGATGGAGTACCCCAAGGATCTGTCATCGATCCCTTCATTAAGCTTTTTACTGCCTCACTTGGCAATCATATTAATTCCCTTGGATTCTGCTAACATCTGTATGCCGATGACACCCAGATATATCTTTCCTCCCCTGATATCTTGCTTGCTTTTCTAGAATGACTCACCAGTTGCCTCTCTTGCATCTCTTGCTGGATGTCCTCCCTGTCCTATCACTAACTTGCAGGAAGATTAGTTTTACGAGTAGGGAAGATAAGAAGCTTAGCTTTAGAAAGGCTGAGCTTTCTAAAACTCAGTCTTTCTAAAACTAAGCTTCATATCTTCCCTACTCAAAATACTAATCCTCCTCTCTCACTCTCCCTGAAAGTTGATTGTACACAAATTAATCCATCCTTGCAAACTTGGCGCCTTAGTGTTATTTTTGATTCGGACCTCACCTCCAGTCTGTTATCAAATCCTGCCAATTCCACCTTAAATACATTGCCCTCATCTGCCCCTTTCTTACACAAGATCCCAAGATCCTAATAAGGAGCTTGTTAATGACCTGGTAATTTCTCGCATTGATCACTGTAATTCTTTCCTAATTGGTCTCCCCAGAAACCACACTGTCCATAATGAATGCTGCTTCCAGGCTGATTTATATCTCCAGCTTCCTGTATTCTATAGGATTCAATACAAGATATTAATTATTGGCTATAAAACTATAAACAACAATACCTGCTACTATATTTATCCACTAATTTATATGTATGCCCCTTCTCGGTCACTCTGCTCTACATTTTCCTCTCCGCTGCTCATGTCCATATTGCTAACTCAAGCTTGGGGGCACCTCCACTCCATTGGAATCATCTCCCATCAGACTCTCCCCTAGTCTTCAATCCTTTAAGAATCCCCTCAAAACCCATCTCTTCAGAATGCCTATTGCCACTTCTATTTTTACCAACCTGTCTCACTCTTCTAACAAGGTGCACATTTCACTCATTTTCCAATTTGACTACTTTGCCACTATGTTGCTTGTTTGCTTTCCCCCATGCTGCCCTTCCTATTGTGTTTTTATACCCTGCGTCCTCTAGATTGAAAGCTCATTTGAGCAGGGTCCTCAATAATTTATTGTTCCTGTAACAATTTATAATTGTCTCATTTATAATATTGTAAAGCACTGCAGAGTAAGTTGGCACTATATAAATGCCATTAATAATATGTTAACTCCTAAATTGAGCAGCTAAATGACAGGAGCATCATCTATACATCAAAACCACTTAAGTATGCTAAAGTTGATTTGGTGCTCAAAGTGTCCCTTTAACTAGATTGTTGCTTAAGGCTTGAATCTCCTTTGGTCCCTACAAACTGAGATTTAATTAGTTTACAATAATGCAAAATAGTTACCATACTAGCCCTCTACCTTTGTAAGATGCCCTTCACTTTCATGCCAAATCAGAATAACTATTTTCTGCGTTAAATCTCCATAATTTGGTCAAAAGGCCTAGTACATGATCAAAATGCTGCTAAAATATCTGTTTCTGGTGACCTCAAAATACTTATTAAAAAGGAGATATTAATTGTAGTCACAAGATGGCAGTATTAGACTGCATTATAAAAGACTATAGACCAAAAATATATAAAACAGTTCATCCAAATACATAATGAAATACCAGTAAGAATTTGGAGTATATAGTAGTGGATAACTCTTGCATAATATCCATGGACAGCGACTGGCATTTGAGCTTCCACAAAGAAACACACAAAGCTGGAGTGAAGGGAAATCAACAATTATTTTCTCTGCTACAAGCTTTACCTTCTGCTGGGTAGTCATAACAATTGTTTCCAGGATTGCAGAGACTTTTTCCTAAAGGATCCAATTTACCAACTATGCTTGCATTGTTATTCCCCATGTGATTATACTGTATGTCACAATGCAGCTCTGATGCTTTACACCAATGGTGCCCACAAGGTAGATCCCAAGATGATATAGAACTTTAACTCCCATGATTCTTTGCATGCCTTTAGAATGCTTTCGACTGCACACTTATTTTCCTTCCAGCATCTTCCATGTTTCTTACCATCTTTCACTGCCATTGGTTTAGCTCAGCTGTAGGCAACGTTTGGCAGTCTACATGTTATGGCTGTAAGAGCATTATTATTTAAGATATAAGGAAGCCAATAACGCTTGCAAAAAGGCAATTAAAGTGGCTAAACTAGAAAATGAGAAATTGATAGCTAAAGAATGCAAAACCAACCCCCAAAACGTTTTCAAGTACATCAATTCTAAAAAAACAAAAAATGAAAGTATAGATACACTGGAAACAAAGTTGGGTTATTGGCTAATGAAGACCAGGAAAAAGCAGAAATTTTAAATAACTATTTATCTTCAGTATATATTAATGAGGATCCTATGGCAAGAGATATGCAAATGATTGCTGCAAAAAACTTGCAAATAACTTGTGATTGGATAACTTGAGACAAGGTGCTACAGCTATTAAAGAAAATTAATGTAACTAAAGCTCCGGAGCCTGACGGTATTCACCCACGAGTACTTAAGGAGCTAAGTGGGGAAATAAGTGAACCTCTGTATTAAATTTTTCAAGATTCGTTTCAGTTGTTGTACCGGAGGATTGGAGGAAGACAGATGTTGTTCAAATATTTAAAAAGGGTTCAAAATCCTTTCCTGGAAATTATAGACCTGTGAGCTTAACTTCTGTAATTGGGAAAATATTTGAAGGGCTATTAAGGGATAATATTCAGGAATTCATTGGGAAGAACTTTATTATTAGCAATAATCAGCATGGTTTTATGAAACATAGGTCATGTCAAACTAATCTAATTGCATTCTACGAAGAAGTAAGTAGAAGTATAGATCAGGGTGTTGCAGTGGATGTGTTCTACTTGGATTTTGCCAAGGCATTTGATACGGTTCCTCACAATAGGTTAGTCTTCAAACTAAAAGAAATTGGTCTAGATGAATATTCTTGTTCTTGGGTAGAACATTGGCTTAAGGATAGAGTGCAACGAGTTGTCATTAATGGTAAATTTTCAGGCTGGACTAAAGTGGTAAGTGGTTTCCCTCATGGTTCTGTTTTGGGACCACTTCTATTTATTATATTTATAAAGGATCTTGAAATAGGCATTGAAAACCATGTATCAGTGTTTGCAGATGACAAAAAACTTTTTAAAGTAGGAAAATGTGAGCAAGATATTGCTTTGCTTTAGAGGGATTTGGATAGATTGGGGGACTGGGCACTAAAATGGCAGATGAAATTTAACGTAGAGAAATGCAAAGTTATGCACAAGCAACTTACACACTAAATGGTAGTGAATTAGGGATAACCACACACGAGAAGGATTTGGGAATTGTTATAGACAACAAATTAGGCAGCAATATGAAATGTCAATCTGCAGTTGCTAAGGCCAGTAAGGTTTTGTCATGTATAAATAGGGGCATAAATTCTCAGGATGAAAATATAATTTTGCCTTTTTATAAATCGCTGGTAAGACCACACCTTGAATATGCTGTGCAATTTTGGGCACCTGTTCTAAAGAAAGATATCATGGCACTAGAAAAAGTCCAGAGACGAGCAACAAAATTGATAAACGGAATGGAGCATTTTAGTTATGAAGAAAGGTTAAAAAAATTAAATCTGTTTGGTTTGGAATAAACAGCGCCTGAGAGGGGATATGATAACGTTATACAAATATATTCGGGGCCAGTATAAACCTTTATCTGGAAATCTATTCATAAACAGGGCTATACATAGGACACGAGGTCACACATTTAGGCTGGAAGAAAGGAGATTTCATCTAGGGCAAAGAAAATGTTTTTTACAGTAAGACCAAGAAGGATATGGAATTCTCTGCCTGAAGAGGTGGATTGTTCGGAATCACTACAGATGTTTAAACTGCAATTTGATAAATATTTACAAAAACATAACATACAGGGATATAATTTCTAATTAGTGGGGTTATAGCTGCTTTATCCAAGGAGACATCTGACTGCTATTTTGGGGTCAAGAAGGAATTTTTTTCTAGTTTGTGGAAAAATTGGAAGTGCTTCAGACTAGGTTTTTTGCCTTCTTTTGGATCAACAGCAACAACATATGTGAGGAAGGCTGAACTTGATGGACGCAAGTCTCTTTTCAGCTATGTAACTATAATTATGAAAGATGTAGCCCACAACATCTGTAATCCATAATCCTTATCTTATCTTTCTCCAACACCATGCTCTTACATTACCTCACCATAATATAGTTGCATGCAAACATTTGGGCGCTTCTAACTAAAGGATGTGTTTTGTAGATTATTACTTTTCCTTTCCTTTTTTTTTTTTAAAAAAAAAAAGGTTACTCCAACCAAAAACCAATGTTTTCACTTTTGGTCAAACAGTGTTTGTCACTGTGGTTTTCCCCATTTCACTTCCTGCGCAGAAGTAGGGAAGCCTATAGACACTGCCAGTTTTCAAACACTGTCCAACCAATGGTGCCTGTGTATGACTGAAGGATCCTATAGTAAAAGTAGGGATGAGTTTTTCATATACTTCATTATTAAGAAATCCATTTACGCTATTTCCTTTCAAAGCTCGATAGAAGGATTATTGTAATAAAAATAGTTTTGGGGTGGCAGTTGCCCTTTAAAAACTAACTGTATATTTCATGTATTCCCACAATCTATCCTGTCCACACTATGTTGCCCTTTAAGCAGGAACAAAACCTCTGGATAGAAGTTTAATAATAAAAAGCGGCAGCGATCCAAAAAATTGAGCCATATCTGAAGGGGGCAGAACACAGAACTAGGATGTCCTGTGGGAGGAACTTGGAGGTGGAGGTGCCTCTAAGAATTCTGTGTTCTACCACTACAGTTGGTGGATACTTATCTCAGCAGTACCTGTTTCCTCATGGACTGCACACACATTAAGTTGAAAGGGGGGCTTTTAGGAATTTGCAAAAAAAGTCTTATAAAAAGTGACCAAATGGATGTAACAGGAAAGCATTCCATTTTTAGGGGGCTAACCATGAGAATAAATGTCACATCAGAAAGAAGCAAAGCAAAATCGAGTGGGTATGGAGGTAATGGATGGTGGAGGATATTTAAGGATGTGGTGGGAGATTTAGCAAGAATAGCATGGAGTTGCAAGGTTGTGTATGTTTTTTAGGGGTAAGTAGAAGTTCTTGAGATGTCTGCTCCTACTAAGATTCAATTCTGGCACTGCACTGTGGATGCTTATTGTTAAGGTTAAAAGTGGAAAGATTGCTCCAGACGTTAATCTGTTGGTGGAGGTACTTAATGTCCATGCCAGTATCACACTGCAGTCTTTGTTAAAATTAACAATATTCCCCAGTGCCTTAATTTTTTCCAATTGCTGCAAACACACTAGGGACAGATGGCTTAATACACATCCACAATAAAAGCATGTCATTTTCCGATTTCAGAAGATTTAAGTAGATGCATGTAAGGCACCTATGTCACCATCATCTGTCAAATTATCCTCAAACTTCATCAAGTTTGGCACCATCTGAAGTGAGATCCATGAGTCATACTACTCACATGCCATAAGATGAGAAAATGTGCTGCAATGAGATAATATCACTTTCTTATACTTGTGTGAAGATGCATATAAAAATAGCAGATTACAGCATTATTTTTGTCATTTTAACCTTCATTTTTAGCATGTTTCTTTCTAATGTCTTTGTAACTGTGTGTGTTTACATATATATGTGATATAGGGATATGCGTATTTAACCATTTCACCTTTTAAAGCTTAACATTATTTTTATGTAACTAGTTGTGTCATATCCCTAAATCATTTCTCACATGCCTTGTGCTGGAAAGAGGTAAGTTTTACCCCCTTTCCCCTTTCCAGAGCCGGGCGGGAGGGGGACCCTGAGGGTGGGGGCACCCTCAGGGCACTATAGTGCCAGGAAAACGAGTATGTTTTCCTGGCACTATAGTAGTCCTTTAAACAGACTTTAGGCAAAATGCCACAGAACAGGTTATTTGCAAATAATAAAGAATGTAATTTGCAGGGAGGGTTGTAACAAAGGCAGGTTGGTTACAGAGGAAGGCTGGTTTGAAGTATAGGTAAGGATGAAGCAGGTTATTGTTAGGAACAGGTTCACAGGAGACAGGATATGAAGTGATTCAGGTAATTCACCAACTTCAATGTAAAGGCCACTGGTATTCTCGGGTGTGGCCTTTTGTAGGATCTTTAATTAGTCCTATGCAGGTAAGGACTGAGGTGACTAGTGGCTAGGGAGGCCACTAGTGGTGGAGAGCTGTAACTTCTTTTAAAGGAACATAAATAAATGAATATAAAACATAGTTGTCAGGATACGATCCTGACACGGTCTTTCTAGTTGGCCTCCCACACCAGAATAAAGCAGGCATATGTTTGCTTGGGATCCGAGCTCTGACTTGATGAAGCAAGTTTAAGCTGACATAGCAAGAGGTTAAACTTTGGCTTAAAACCGGTTGTTCTCTGTGCTTAAACCCAACAGGAGCTTAGAAAACAAACATTACACACTATAGTGTTAGGAATAAGAATATATTCTTAACACTTTATGCTAGAGTTGCAGTTTAAGTCCATGGCCACCTCAGAGTGGAGTTAAAAGGTTTTAAGCGTACCTTTTATCCTTGCTGCTGCTGTCTCTCTAACACTGTGACATGTCTCTTTCTTTCTTCTACACTCACAACATTTTCTCTGTCCCAGACTGTATAACAGGAGTTTCTGTCTGCTAGTAAGAACGGAAGGAGATGAGTGAACAAATGAGGCCAGGGGGACAGTCTTCAGAAAACATAGAGTGAGAGCATCATTAGAAGCATTTTCGCCAAAGCTCAGGGAACAGCACGTTTTGCATAGTACGTCCTTAGTTGACCAGCCTGCATGATTACCAGGCCGCTTGACATGCATTCATGCCAGGCTAGCCTTCCAATTCTTCAGGCCCGGCCCTTTGGGTGGTGCTAGTTACATGATTTGTGTCAGTAACCCACCATTTAACCCGACCACCGCACGTGCTGCTTCACAGGATGCTGCTGTATGGATTTGCTTGAAAAATGAAAGTACCAGTACCACTTCCACCAAATACATAACACTTAGGAGCTAGTGTTTTCTGTTGATAAGATTTTGTAATTAGGCCCATCGTAATTGTCAGCACCAGGCCCAGTGGGCTCTAAATCCAGCCCTAGTGACACACCACTACTTACCTTGTCAGAGCCTGCCAGTCGGGTTTATAATTAAATATATATATATAAAAATGTTATTAATATAGACATTTTTAAATCTTTTTACTTTTTGTAAGCTAAGTAGGTATGGTTCAATGTAATACTATTGTGGGAGACCAGCACAGAATCTTAGTTGCAAAAGGTTCAATGTTTTGAAACAAAATGTGGCTTTAACACTTTCCTAATCTGTCACTAGGTTTAAAGCAGCTCTCACACCTCCCCCACACACACGAAATACTTACTTTGACTGAAATTCCAACATAGTCAAAAAATATCATAGGACAAAGTGGGGACTACTTTGTCTTATGTATTTTTCCTAAGTATGACAAAATTTGATAAAAGGTGGAGCTACTGCCGTCGAGTTTTGTCATCCTCACCAACCATCAGTGGGGACTGTGGGGGAAATCGCATTGGCTATAGAGGCTCTAGGGTTCTCGGGAGCACCAGAAGATGAAGAGGACTTACCGGATGAAGATGGTGGAAGCCACGAGGGACAGCTTCAGGTATGTAAACCTCATCTTCCCCTGCATATACAGGCCAGCGCACTGCAAGCGGAATAGTCACCATTAGGTTCTATGCAAAATATGCAAATAGCCCAAATAGTGACTGACCCAATTTAATTATAGAAGATATACTTTAAACCTGCAGCTGACATTGTTCTAGCCTTAACACTCTAAACCCAAATGCCTTTAGAGCTAACCGTGTCTTCTCTTCTTTCTTACTTTACAAAACTGATGATTTAAAGAGAAATCTGCAGTTTATAAAGCTCCTAGGTAGCAGTCTGCCACCTGACAGCCAGGAAGGTACTCTTCCTCACACGGTTTGAGCACTTGCTCAAAGCATAAAACAGTCTTATTATAGAGAAGCAATGGATTCAATGCTTGTCCATGAGAAACATTGCTGGTGCAGGTCAAGATTTCCACACATGTGCTCTGCATCACAATAGCGAGGAGACCATCATGTTATTGGATTAGAGGCAAATAATCTCTTTATTTTGAAGGAAAGGAGGAGGTCTATTTAGTAAACAACTTATGTTTGGTTGCCACAATTCGGGGTTTTAACCCGTATGACTATTCACAAAAAGCTAATTTGGTCATTTAAAATTAATTTGCCCTTCTGAGTGACTGCAAATTGGTTGCATTTTAAAATTTGTCTTTTCTCAAAAATCAACTTGCAGTCGATTGGCTTTGTTTGGCTCTTGTAATTACTCTGATATGGGCAAGGGAAATTGCACATTTGCACATTTTTGAAATTCTCTAATCAAAAATCACCCTAATTATACCCCAAACCCATTAAACACTCAAAGGATGCCCGACCTTAAATCCTCCCAACAAATTTGAGACTAATGTTAGTGGCATCTTTTTTTCTTCTTGTTGCAGGGAAATTCAATTACAATTTGTCTGAAATTCGATTGCAAATAGGTTAAGCTATTTTCAAATAAATCTCACTGCAGCATAGAGATCCAATTGATAATACCAGGGATCCATTCAGCTCGATTCTGATATCAATCATTTCTTGCATTAACAACAAATTGAGCCAAATACAAACAGCTGATTTGTTGTTTATGTATGAAATAGTGCACGGTATGGAATGCCTTGTAATCTCTAATAGGCCTTAAACCCCAATATTTATAAACAAATTAATAACTTAGTATGATTCTGAATGGGCCTTGTTTCCAGCAAATTGTTATAGAGATCGGTGTTGGGAAGCCCAGCACCTGTTCATATTGCCTGGGGATAGGCAGAGAGACCTTGCCAAGGGTTTCTACAAAGTTGCCTGCACTCCACAAAAAAACAATGGCTGAGCAATCTAAATGGAGAAAAGGGCTCTGTGCATTGCTGACTTCTAGCAGAGCAAAGCACTCATCTTTCAGCATGGGGCCACTAAAAATGGCCACAGCTGACTTACAGGAGCCCCAGGTATCAATTGAAATTTGCCAATGCCTATTTTAAGAGCTGTTTGCAGCACTGGTTTCCTGAGCTGCAAACATGTCATCTAAAAGTCTGGTGACACTAAAAATGACCTCAGCAAACAGGGGAGCCCCAGGTATCCATTGACACATTGTGATACATGGCGGTCTATGCCACCCAATAGGCTTTAAAGCCCACTTGATGTAGGATGGCGTAGAATGCCATAACATCATTAAGAGGTTAAAGACAGAGACAATATTTCTGAACCAAAACAAAATCTAGAATTTGCACTTATTGTTCCACCATAATTTAAATGTTTCTCTTTAAGTGCCCCTGTACATATAACATATTGCTTTTTTAAAGGACAGAAAGGGATTCTTTTAATATCCTATGTATACTATATTAACACAACATTAAAGTGTTTCTATAACCCTTTTGAGAGTGGGGTAATATACCCCACTGGCACTATAGGGAAGGTCTCCCTCTCAATTTTCAGTAAAATCTGAAATGAAAAGGTTTTACTTACCTGGAATCCCATGCACGGTGAAGTTGCCGGCACTGCCCTTCCACCACCCCTCCCCCCCCCTGCAAAGTGACAGGAGACTTGTGAGGTCCAATCTGGGCCAGTGAGGGGAGGGAGGTTTTTTTTTATTTTTTAAATAAATAAAAGTCAATGAGCACAGAGGGAGGTAGAAGGGTGAAAGAAGATAGGAGGGGAGAGCTAACTTTCCGTTGCAGGTGTTTTGCCTTCAAGGGTAAGATTTTCATGTCTGTTGTCAGCATGTAGTGCGAGCTAACCACAGACGTAATTTATGCACAGCATTCAAAAGGGCAAGTCATGTTTGCTGAGCGTGCAACTTGCCCTTGGCACATAGTTGTCAATATCTCTGAATGTGTAATGTTTCAAGATGAAACACTGCACATCCAGGCTCCTACCACCATGATCACGCCAAATCACTGAAGTGCTCATGGTGTTTGGAGTAACTCTTTAAGTGTGAATAAAATGGTAATAAAAAAAATAAAATTAAAGCGGCACTGTCATGCCGAATCCTGTTTTTTTTTTTTTAACCCCCCTCCGGCCTCCACTATCTCTAACTGACACCCTAGTCACCCCCAAATGCCCCTAAGCCTTGAAATCCATCCAATCACAGTGCTCTGTGTCATTTTACACAGCGTGGGAAAATTCAAAAGAACACAAACACATAACGTAATCCTAACACTAAGGAAACGCTCTTTGATATCAGTACTGAAATCAGCAGATGGGTTTCCTAATTAAAACGGTAGCGAGTGGTATGTTGCAGCCATCTGCTGGCTGTTTTTAGCATTACAGGCATATCTCTATAATGCTGATAATGCTAATAATGCTAATGCCGTATAGATTTACCATTTCCAATCTGCTCAGCCGTGGTGTTCTCAATAGATTTAAAGGGTTGTGAACAGTGCTCACATTGAGTGCTGCATACAGAGCATCTGACATTCTGGGGCCACTAAAAATGGCATGGATTGATATCTGGGACTCCCTGCTCACACCAAAATGTTAGGATGTATCAATTCTTCCTAATGGCATTAAAGCCCATTATAGTTAGAACATAATACCTCATCCTAATGCTGTTAAATGGTCAATACATAAAATATATATACATGAAATTGCTGTAATGTGCTACATTTGATGTATTAGCTGCTTATTCCAAATTTTAAGTACATTTTACAATAATTTTCTTATACAAATAGAACTTGGGTCAGTGCCTTAAACTAATCTTTTTTTTTTTTTTTTTTCTGAATCAGCCAGCAAGTAAACTTTTATCCAGCATTCTTGGAAAGAGCAACCTACAGTTTGCTGGAATGAGTATAACACTGAATATATCTACTACTAGCCTCAACATGATGACTCCAGATTCAAAACAGGTACTTTGTGGATGTATTCTCTTCTGTTAAATTCATGTGAAGCCAAAATATAAGCTGATTTTTTTATATGACAATGGAGCAATTTTTATCAATAAGATAGGACAAGAAAGGAAACAAAATCTAACAATCAAGGTATGTAGAGTGCCTTGCCTAAAGGAACACTCCAAACACTATAACCACTAGAGTGCACTTTTGCACAGCCCATGCACCATAAACATTAGAGCCCTTTTGCTAACGGTTTGGCTTCTTACCTGGGATCTGCTGGGCAATGGTGACTTCTTCCCGTGAGAGGTGGAAGCTCCTGTTGGGAGCTTTTGTAAGTTCTCCTGAGCTAAGTAGTGCCGATGCCACTCAAGTGTACTGCTATGGTGCTCAGTTTCTTTAAGTTTTAATCCTTCTTCCCCTTGGATACATCACCCGTTGTGTGTGTCACAATTAAAATTTAAATACATACAATGTAGAGGATTGGTCACACTTTGAAATACGTCTGAAAGAAACACAAATAAAACACACAATAGTGTAATATTGTCTAAGATATAAAATATTAAGGAATTGGAGTCTGGTACTCACAAGCCCAGAGCCAAATCTCATATGGCTCTCATGGATATTGCTTTGGGACTATTTCAGAGGATGTCCCCTTCCTACTTCCATATGGACTGACAGCTGTTCCAGTAGAAATATGAATGAGCTCTAGGATCAAATATGAATCTTTGTTAAAAAATACTTTTATTATTCCGCACAATATATGTGTAAAAATTAATAAAAAACAATGAATACAAATTCCATATAGATAATAAAAGAGAATCTCTAGCTATAATGCTATAGAGGTAAGTCCTGCCTATTGGCTTTGATAGTCCAAGAATAACCGAATATTGGATCCTGGAGTTCATTCATATTTCAACTGGAACAGCTACTTCAGACATCCTCTGAAATAGTCCCAAAGCGATATCCATGAGAGCCATATGAGATTTGGCTCTGGGCTTGTGAGTACCAGACTCCAATTCCTTAATATTTTATATCTTAGACAATATTACACTATTGTGTGTTTTATTTGTGTTTCTTTCAGACGTATTTCAAAGTGTGACCAATCCTCTACATTGTATGTATTTGCCTTTATTTTGTTGAGTGGTGTAAGGGGTTTCCACTCAGGGGGTTTGTGGCATTACTGCTACCACACTTAGTCCCACTGCTTTTCTGTATATATTTGTGTTTTACAATTAAAATTTAGATTGATATTGTTTGGCTTACACAACACTTTAAAGGGACACTATAGTCACCAAAACAAGTTTAGCGTAATAAAGCAGTTTTGTGCATAGATCGTGCCTCCAAAGTTTCACTGCTCAATTCACTGCCATTTAGGAGTTAAATCAATTTTGTTTCTGTTTATGCAGCCCTAGCAACATCTCCCCTGCTTGTAATTCAGCCTGCATGAAAACAAAATGGTTTAACTTTCAATCAGATGTAACTTACTTTAAAAGTTTGTATCTCCTGCTCTGTAAATTAAACTTTAATTACACACAGGATGCTCATGTAGAGTCTAGCAAGCTATTAATAGCTGAAGTTGTTTTGGTGACTATTGTGTCCCTTTAAACATGCTAAATATTTTTGTTGTGACAGTAAAGGTAAATAAACCATAATTGCAGACAACTGATTGTATAATTGACCTCCTAAGTAAATACTGATAGAACTACATTAGGCTGCAATGAAAGATATAATATCTTGTCATAATTCTCTACCAAATTTGCAGGCCTTTATTCCACAAACTTTGTAGACAGACCCTAAAAATATCAGTGCTAGAAGAGAGGGTGATAATTCTGAAGAGTAGTCACCATGGAAACCAGTCAAATGTTTTGTTGTTTTAGATGTTTTTCCCTTTTTTGCACCACATTCAGAAATTTGCCAACTTTTCTCCTAGGAATACTTTTATAATCTCCCTATCTATAGATAAAGATTTTCACCAAAGATTTTTACATTTGTATTTGGAGCAACAACAATCAGATAAATAAAATCCTTATATTTTGTGCACAATGTATTTTTTTCAATTTTTTTTGTTACTGCATCAATGGAAAAACTAAATATTTTACATCTACATAAAATTAATTTTGGCTTTAGTATGTGCACAATGCTTTTCATTTAGTTATGTAAACATAGCTTGTTCACCACCTCTCTGATCACAACCTCTTATCATTTGTTCTTGAAATCCCCCTCACCCAACAGCCTAACCCCCCTCAGCTCAGAAGGGACCTGAATTCTCTTGACCTCCAGCTATCCAGCTAATGTCTCGTGAGATCTGATCAATCAGAGCGTTGCCGCAGGTTACCACGGCAACGCTCTGACTGGGTCTCGCGAGATTCATGGTCTGCAGGTCTGCAGAGCTGCAGACCGGATATTATGGCCACTGGGCCACCTTGGAATTAAGGTATTTAGTCCGTTCCCCCTCTCCCCATCATCCCCCCTCACACATCAACACCCTCCCTCTCGTCATCACCCCTCCTCACACATCACCCCCCTCCCTCTCATCATCACCCTCCTCCCTCACACAATCACCCCCTCCCTCTCATCATCACCCCCTCCCTCACACTCCCCTCCCTCACACTATCACCCCCCTCCCTCTCATCATCACCTCCCTCCCTCTCATCATCACCCCCCTCCCTCTCACCTTCACTCCCCTCCCTCTCACCATTATCCACTATACAAGCACACACACTGCATTCACTATACAAACACACTACATACACTATACAAACACACACAGACATGTGTGTCTGTGTATCTGTATGTCTGTGTATTTGTATGTGTATTGGTATATGTGTATTTGTATATGTCATTGTGTGTATGTGTACCTGTTTGTGTGTCTGTGTATCTGTTTGTGTGACTGTGTTTGTATCAGTGTGTCTGTATGTGTGTGTCTCTATCTGTATGTGTGTCTGTGCCTGTGTGTCTCTCTCTATGTGTCTGTATGTGTGTTTCAGTGTTTGTCTGTATATGTGTATGACTGTGTTTCCATGTAACTGCATGTGTGTGCCTATGTGTCTGTGTATGTGTGCCAGTGTGTGTATATGTGAGTATATGTGCATACATCTAACACTAAGTCGACACGCTACCTGCAGATATGCTTCCGTCAGCTGAACGCTGCTGGAGGAAGTCGACCACCTTGTCAGACTTCCTCCATTATAAATTCCTTTTGTGTTCATATAGCACAGCATTCACACTTGCTAAATAATTAATAGTTCATGCAATCCCAGACATCTCTTTAATACCTTCAACTCTCTCCTTTGTCCACCTCAAGTCACCCCTCAGACTGACCTTTCAGCAGATAGCCATGCAAGCTACTTTACCGACAAGATTGAACAGCTAAGGAAATAATTCTCCCCCCTTTGCTCCTCCCACTCGCAACCACACATGGACCGTACCTTTCCTACCCTACAGGCATTCTCCCCAGCTACAGAACAGGAGGTGGCTTCGCTTTGCTTCTCCTCTCCTCTCATCCCACCACCTGACCTTCCCACCTTATCTGGTCTCTCTCCCTTGTCTTGTACAATCCTTAACACACATCCTAAACTACTCTCTTTCTTCTGGTGTTGTCCCTGCTCCCCTTAAGCATGCTGCTGTCGTATCCATCCTAAAAAAGCCATCCCTAGTCCCGTCTTCCCCTTCCAACTATCGTCCCATATCCCTGCTTCCTTTTTCCTCAAAGCTTCTAGAAAGACTTGTCTTTACTCGTATGACTCACTTCCTAAAGTCCAACTCCCTCCTTCAATTTGGCTTTCGCCCCCTCCGCTCTACTGAGACTGCTCTTATTAAAGTTACAAATGACCTAATCACAGCTAAATCCAAAGGCCACTACTCCACACTAATTCTTCTTGACCTCTTTGCTGCCTTTGACACTGTTGATCATGTCCTCCTTCTCCAAACTCTTCAATCCCTTGGTCTCTGTGACACTATCCTCTCCTGGTTGTCCTCCTATCGCTCCCAACGTTTGTTCAGGGTCTCCTTTTGCAATAACACCTCCTCCTCTTGCCCTGTCTCGGTTGGAGTCAACCAAGGATCTGTTCTTGGTTCCCTTCTATTCTCTCTTTATACGGCTTCTCTTGGTAAACTCATTAACTCCTTTGGATTCCGCTACCATCTGTATGCCGACGACAACCAGATATATCTCTCCTCCCTTGATCTCTCCCCCGTGGTCCTACAATCTGTCACTGTTTGTTTTTCTTCAATCCCTGATTGGATGTCCTCCCGCTTTCTGAAACTCAATCTCTCTAAAATTGAGCTTCTTATTTCCCCCCTTCATAATGATCATCCTCCTTCGCTTTCCCTGCAAGTTGATGGTACTTGCAAGTTCGTTATCTTTGATCCTGGTCTCACCTTTGCACCACATATCCAGTATGTTGCTAAAACCTTTTGATTCCACCTTAAAAACATTGCCCGCATCCAACCCTTTCTCACGCAAGATGCTGCCAAGGAGCTTGTTCATGATCTGGTAATCTCTTGCATGGATTACTGTAATTCTCTCCTAGTTGGCCCCGCTACAATCGGTAATGAATGCTGCCACCAGGTTGATCTTTCCCACCCGTTTCGTTTCCCCTCCCATACCTCGCCCCTCTGTCGATTCTTACACTGTCTTCCTGTATACTATAGGTGTCAATTCAAAATACTAACCCTTACATATAAAGCTCTTACCAACTCTAGCCCCTGTTACATTTCTTCCCTGATTCATAGATATGCCCCTTCTTGGTCTCTCCGGGCTGCTGGTGACCTTCGCCTGTCCGCTGCTCGCACACTTACTGCTAACTCATGCTTGCAGGACTTCTCGCAGGTTTCTCCCTTCCTTTGGAATATCAGACTCTCTTCAATTGTTTTTGTCACTGTGTAATTGTCTCATTTATTGTAAATTTCCCCCTCTTTCATAATATTTTAAAGCACTGCGGAATTGCGGAACTGTATTGAATTGAAAACTAACTTGAGAAATTGATTCAACAATGGTAAATAGGTTGAAAACCTCTCTAATGCCACCATAGTCACAGCTTGTCTCTTAGCCTAAATAGTTTTCAATTCATCACAATTCGGTGTTTAGTGAATAAACCTCATTCATTAATAAACACACAATAGAGGTGCATGTTAAACAATAAATTTGATAATACTTATCGTTGAGATCCACATTCTTTTAATAAATGGAAACACATGTAAAAGAAAAAATATAATACACCACATAGTGCAGCAATATGATACAATGAAGATATATAGGTGACAGATATCGCTGAAACATATAAAATGTGTATAGGTAGGGAGAGATAGAAATTGACAACAGGGCAAGGTATCAAAATCACCTGGAACCTGGTCCCAGAGAGTCAGGTAACACCAACCACTTACAGAAAATAGAGGCCACACTAGGATCGGATATATGGGCACAGAGCCAAAATCAGCCGGCTAAAGCCCATCTGTTTCGTCCTCCTTGGAGTTCTGTCCCCTGCAGTCACTGTAGTTGCCAATGTGGGTCGCGAAAGGAAGATGCCAACAAGAGAGTGGAGTACCGGAAAGCGATTTATTCACAAAGGAATCCAAAGCAGTTAAAACTTTTGTTTTAATTTTAACTTTTAATGTAACTGCCTTAGTGAAAAGAAATACATTTTCAAAAAAAATCACAGCAATACAAATGGACTATTTGCACTTAAAAGAGCTGTATAGTGTGTGACCCCTATTTATAAATCAAGTGGATATATGCTGTGTTTCAAAAGAAAATGATATCAAATCAATGAATGTATGAAAGAAGAATTCAACAAATATGAATGACCACAGGTGCTTGAAGAGGTTGCCAGAGCAACAGATAAAAATACATTAGTAATGAAGTAGAAACTAAAAAGTGGTTTTTTTTTTCTGAATTAAAGGGACACAATAAAGAGACACATTGAGGATACAGACAGTATCGGTCAAGGTGACATGCATTTTGATTCTAGGAATATCAGAGAGTCTATCAGTTTCCTGGAATGGCTTTCAGAGCTTTTATTTATTCTATTTCTTACATCAAAGATTTGAAACACACCTTCATAACCTAAATTCAAGAGATGCATTTATTTTCTTTTGCCCTTTCTAAATATTGTGCAGTGAATAATCCATTGCTAGGAAAATTAGATATGTACTGTAAAAGGAGGATCAAGGTTTATTTTATGACTTATAGGGAAAATTTATGAATGTTTCATTCGCAAACATGTATGTAGAATTACATTCTATCGTCAAAATCCAGCCGAAAATTATTGACTGTTTTCAGACGATATTTTTTTTATTGCATTATGACGGGATTTAATGCTAGCTGGAATTCTAGCAGCTGGAATTGATAAAAGGCTGCTTGAGAAAAATCACCTAAGAAATGTGCTTTTGAACCTTGTTAGTCATTAAAAAAGAAATAAACTAAAAGCCTATGGGGGGTCAACATGAACTTTGTATTTGTATTAGAGGTCTTATACCCACCTCAGGTCCCACTCGCCATGCTGGAATGGGGGCATTTTTACAACAAAGTGTGCAGCTAGTGGCTGCTTGCTGTAATAATAAGTGGCTCAGTTACTATTAACAAACAGGGTAGATTTGGAACAGGCTCACCTATGTCCCCACATATGGGTATCTGATGGGGTTGTAAAATAAAGAGTGGTGGATAGACAGATCAGTGTCCCCCTGTGCCCCCGTGGTGCTGCTATCATAAGATAACGAATCAGGGATGCACAGCATAGAGTGCTCAGATTGGTCGGCTTACAGGTTAACCAATCTGAGGACTCTGACTGAAATTGCATAACTTGGGAAAGCCCTTATATTATTAAGGGGACTTAACCATCTTGGACTTTCAAGAAAGTATAGTCATCTGAAATGCATGCTCTCATCTGTTGATATATCAGTGGTGAGAAAAGAAAAAAATCGGAGCATCACAATCGCTGTTCCTATGAGTGAGTATGAGTGTGAGATGAGGCCTGAAGAACAGAGAATGAGATAGAACAGTTTATATAAAGGTATTCACAGCCAAGAAGAGCAGGAGGAGGGGAGGAGAGAATAGGGGAGGGGTAGAGTAGCAATGTGTTGATTGATGTAGATCTTCAGTGGAAAAGTGAAGCAGTCAGATATACAATAAATATACAAACACGATGAAAGAGAATCTAACACAGAGTCTGTTCTGGTTGTGGGGTAATTAGGGCATAAACCAACATAGAAATCAATAATAAGATATAGCGAGAAACAAGCCTAATACCAATCATATTACCCTTATTAAAGTACGTTTTCCTGGCACTATGTAGTCCTTAGGCCCCCCCACCCTCATGGCCCCCCTCCCGCTGGGCTGAAGGGGTTAAAACCCCTTCAGCCACTTACCTTTCTCCAGTGCCGGGGTCCCTCGGCGTTGGGGAACTCTCCTCCTTCTGCCGACATCAGCGCAAACATTCAAACCGCCCATAGGAAAGCATTACTCAATGCTTTCCTATGGACGTCAGCGTCTTCTCACTGTGATTTTCACAGTGAGAATCGCAGAAGTGGCCTCTAGTGGCTGTCAATGAGACAGCCACTAGAGGCTGGATTAACCCTCAGTGTAAACATAGCAGTTTCTCTGTCAGTAAAGTAACATGCAAAGCATTTAGATTAGTTAGTAGGGTTGCCACAGCAGGGCGAAGAAGAGAGTTAAAAGTATTAAAGAGATGCCTAGGGTTGCGGGAGCATGAACTAATAAGAGAAGAAAAGTAGGACTGTTTAGAAAGGGTGAGGACTGCGCTGTATGAACGCAAGACAAATTTGTAGTGTAGAAAGTCTGACAAGGTGCGAGACTTCCTCCAGCAGCATTTAGCTGCAGGTAGCAGGTTATCTTAGTGTGCCATGGTTGGAGGCGTGCCCTCCTTGAGGAGTGGGTCTGCAGGGTCTAGGGCAGAGATGAGGGTAGCATTATATGAGGAGATAGCCAGAGAGGCACAGGAGAGGGTAGGGATGCATGAGAGTTCAGAATGGATATCAGTTGAGAGCTGCTGGAGGTCAAGAGAATTCAAACTCCTCCTGAGTTGAGGAGGGTTAGGTTAAGGATATTGTGTGTGGGGGCACTAAAGAATAAATAATAGGAGGTGGTCTGAAATTGGAAATGGAGTATTACAGAGATTGGAGACTGAACATGCATTTGAAAAAATAAGATCTAGGGTATTGCCAGCTACATGTGTGCGAGAATTAGCCCATTGCGATAGCCCAAAGGAGGAGGTGATTGAAATACATTTTGAGGCTACTGAGGACAAGGGTGGGTTAACGGGAATGTTGAAATCCCCGAGAATTAGAGATGTGATATTGCTTGAAAGGAAGCAAGGAAGCCAGCCAGTAAAATGGTCAAGGAAGAGACAAGGAGAACCATGAGGCCGATAAATAACTGCAATTGATGCAGAAATGGGGTTGAATAAGCAAACTGAGTGAATTTCAAAGAAGGAGAAAGAGTGGAAAAGGGGGGGTGGGTAGAGGTTTGAAGGAGCAGTGGTGTGAAAGCAGAAACCCTGCACCACCACCTTTACTGTCAGGCTATCTTGGGTTGTGTATAAACTGTAGACCACCATAGGATAATGAGGCAGGGGTAGCTGTGTCAGAAGGAAAGAGCCAGGTTTCAGTTAAAGCAAGTAGGTTTAGGGGGCGTGAGATGAATAAGTGGTGAATAGAAGTAGATTTAGTTATGTTGTACACAGAACATGCATTCCAGAGGGCAGAATGGAAGGAGCACTTTAGAGGTGTAACCCCTTAAGTTAAGCTGGTGCCAGTGGCTTCCTGGCACCAAAACAACTTATGTTGTTATCGTGCCTGGAGTGTTTCTTTAACTGATTGTTTGTAATTAAAAACTTAATTTTATATGAATGTAGCTATCAAAAATAAACTACTCTGATTTTCAGGCTGCCAGTAACCAAGGCAACTTGGAAAGATCTCAAGCTAGTACCTGACCAGTTTATTTATAAATCTGTGGATGATATAAACAAACAAGATGTATAAGAACATGGAAACAAATGACTAGAAACTAACAATCATTAAAAAAAATTTGAAAATAAATAAATAAATAATGCTAATTAAAGGCATGGATGGATACATTTCACTGACAAATTGCCATATATGAGAATATGCTAGAAACATAAAACAACATGCAGTGAAGAATGCAAATACTCCTTAGTAGACACCAGATTAAAGGAACACTATAGCCATCCAAATTACTTAATCTCATTGAAGAACAGCTGCCCCATCTCACACTCCCGGTAACGAACAGTTGCAAATTAGGGGAGGACTCCCTTTGAGGACCTGGTCCTTCCTGGGGGAAGTGGACTACATCCCTATCTGTAGAGCCTTACAAGATGGGTAACTACGGGGTCTGAACTTGCTGGAGGGTAGACTGCAAACGGCCCTGACCTCTTTCCGCTACATGCAACTAACCCATTACTATAATGCGCTCCCGCATAAAGAACGGTTGCACAGGGAACTCACGTGGTTTGAGGAACTCTGTGTGTGTGAGGCAGTAAGCTTGAAAAGGCAGTCTCCATGCTCTACCAATATCGCTTGGTGGGAACTCATTCGGCGAACAATACCTTCCAAAGGCAATGGGAAGCTCTCACGGGCAGGACTTTTTCACTGTCGCAATGGGATAAGCCAAAACTGTGGCATAAGAGCACCATCAGTTCTCAATATCAAGAGATGAACTATAAACTCATATCTCTATGATATAAAATGCCAACTCTAGTTCACAGAATCTTACCCGCGGTTTCCCCAATATGTTGGAGATACCAGGTGGAAAGGGAGACGATGATATACATCTGGTGGGGATGCCAAGACATCATCCCATACTGGGAGACGGTAAAAGATGACGTGAGGGCAATCTTAGGAGACTCGACCGAATGGTCAGCTGAACTAACCCTACTGCATGTATCATCACAACCGGTCTCACTTTATAAAACATCAATTTTATGCCACTTACTGAACGCGGCCAAGTCCCTCATACCGGTCTTTTGGATACGGACGGAGGTCCCTAGTAGGGATGAGTGGATTCGCAGGGTCGAGGACATTCAGGCGTCGGAGGCGCTTTATGCCTTGCTGACAGGGAGGGGGTCCAGATATGCAGAGACATGGCAACCATGGTTTATATTCATTTCTTGTGACCTGTGAAGTATTGTAGCCTCCGGTGCCACAGGGGGGAAGGGGGTTCTGGGGGGGGCCCGACCTCTTAGGATGGGGATCATACTTTCTTCTTACTTACTTTCATACCTGTACTTGCTATACTCCAACTGTCTCACATCAAGGGCCCACTCCTACGTTATTTGGTGTTAGACTAGTGGCAATACTTTGGGGGGTACCACACTCTAAGAACACATCGTGCCCTTTTTGTGACTGCCCGGAGACTTAATACAGTCCTGTATGCGTTGACCTCATCTACCGAATGCCAGTATAGTAATCGATAATAATGGGTGCAGGACAATTGCATGTGGCATGTTACATAGCAATAGTATGTATATACATATAACCTAAGCTTTATATTGAGAAACCTGCGCGCTTTCCCTGTTGTACTTTATGTGTACTCTTTCTTGGAAAACACTAAAAATCATTAATGAATAAAATGAAAAACATTTCAATAGTACAATTCCAATGAAGATATTCCTAAAAAATACTTATTACACACATAAACACATAGTCACTCCATCTTGGCATATTATTATTTCAAAAAGACCAGAATACATATATTTATATTTATATATATATATTTTTTTATAAATAAGCAAAAATCTATTAAAATCCTAGCAGATTATACATATCATATTAAAAACATGAAAAATCCATAATTTAAAGCAAAAATTGGAAGTTGCCCAATAAACAAATTGATCCAGATTATAAAATATTTATAGTGAATTTGCAAATTGTAAACTAAATGGGTAAACGTTGTAGGGAGGTGCAAATCTAGTACTCCATGAAAGTCTAGAGAAAAAATGCTATTCATTAAGCACAGTAAACCCTTGCTTTGCTAACAGCACCTGGCTTAACCATTCAGGGTTATTCCCGAAAGTGAGAATTCATGGAGAATTCAAAGGGAAATTCAATATTAAATGGATTCTATAGTGCCAGGAAAACAAAGCCGTTTTCCTGGTACTATAGAATCCTACAGGGCCCCCCTCTCTCGCCCTTAAAGGGACTCTCCAGTGCCAGGAAAACATATTTGTTTTCCTGGCACTGCAGGACTCTACGGGTCCCCTCTCCCTCCCACCCCCTATCCCAAGTTGCTGAAGGGGTAAAACCCCTTCAGTGACTTAACAGATTCCAGCGCTGATGTCCTCCTCCTAGACCTAATGCACATGCGCGGCATTATTCAATGTTTTCCTATGGAGATTTCAGCAACGTTGGAGGTCATCACATAGCGTGCGGACGTCCAGCGTTGCTTAAAACAGTTTTCGTGTTCTAAGAATACGGAAGTCCCTCTAGTGGCTGTCTGTAATTACATTTGCAGGGTTAAGGGTAGTGGGAGTTGGCACCCAGACCACTCCAATGGGCAGAAGTGGTCTGGGTGCTTGGAGTGTCCCTTTAATGCTTTCCTATGGGGAAATATCTGATGCTAGAGGTCCTCTTGCACAGCGTGATGAAATCTAGCGTCAGATAATGGACCAAAGGTCAGTTTCAAACCAGGAAGTCCCTCTAGTGGCTGTCTGGTAGAAAGCCACCAGAGGTGGAGTTAACCCTGGATAGTAATTATTGCAGTTTCTCAATAACTGCATTAATTACTATTGCAGGGTTAAGGGACATTGGACATTACACCCAGACCACTTCAATAAGCTAAAGTGGTCTGGGTGCCTACAGTGTCCCTTTAAGTTCAAAATTGCCAAACTGGAAAAATACTCTAAGTCAGCTATACTTTCAGTTCAGTTACTCTGGCCTGAAATGTGAAACTCACTTTGATTTCTTACTATAATAAATATCTCTAATGGTGAACTGAAAACTGAATAGGAAACATAAGGCATAAAATTGCTTATTTTGCATATTTTCACAGCTTAGCTTTTTTTTAGCATGAATAATTAATTTTTAAGTGCAATTCTGTGTTTAATAAAAAATATATATATATATGTTTTGCATATAATCTTTTTAATGCACAATGTGCTGAAATAAAGAGAAATGCCATCATGAAAATATCTTATTTTCGTGGGAAAATTATTAAAATTTGCAATGTCTAAGTGTAGGAAATTGTTTATTATTTTGTACTATATATTGTCTTAGAATTTATGTCTCTATGGCTCCTGCGCCAATGTCATCCAATGAAGGAACCTAACGTGCATGTGCGATGAGTGCCACATGCTTGACTTAATGTTTTCCCATAAGTATTATAAAGACGTAAGAAAAACATATGATATAAGGACATCCGGTGTCGTTTCACGGAGTAAAACTCTGTAAACAGCAGGAAGCACCTCCAGTTTTCCCAAAAGGGAAGACATTTCAGACCGTCTATAAGATTCACGAAAATAAAGCAGGCAGCTGATGGCGATTCCAACAAAGAATTTTCGAGATTGTTTTGAACAGTGGAAGAGATACTGGGAGAATACTTTGGGTGCCTACTTTGAAGGGGACTGAGGCATCATTGTCATATATACAATGTTTCTTGTATACTGTAGCTTCTTCAATAAATCTCTCTGTTTTTCGTATTACATACTTTCCGGACATACCATATATATATATATATATATATATATATATACATATTATATTTATTATTTCATATTGAACTTTGAGTTTTAACTCTCTGATATTTTTATATATGTATCTTTATATTGGCTAATGTTTTTACACTTGTATAGGTTCATTTGTGGTTGTATTTTTTATCACGTTGTTGATCTGCTTTCTTTTACTTTTATCAAATACAGATCATAGCAAATCATCACATGCAGTCGATTTCCTTTGCATCTGGTGGAGATCCGGTAAGATTTAATTTATTCTACAATATAATACGTTTCCAATGACTAGATTGCACCACACACTCATAAGCAGTGGTGGCTGGTGAATTTTTCAGATGGCGGGGTGCTAGGCTCCAGCTCTGTAATTTGATCCTCCCCCTTTACATAAACTTTGCTTCTAAGCTGTTGGACCTGTTGTCCACTTAAAGGGATACTATATAGGCAACAAAACAACTTTAGCCTAATGAAGCAATTATTTGTGTAAATCATGCCCCTTTGGTCTCAGTAGAGGGCAATAGAGAGTGCAGTCAGAAGTTAATCTAAGCCTTAGACAGAAGATTAGGGGATAACCCAAAACATTCTGAAACATTCTGAAACCAAGTTCAAAAAGCAAAATAAAGAGATTTATATCAGACAAAATGTCTGGATGGTTACAAGACTAAGGCTAAAAATTATTTAATCTTTATTTAGGCAACAAAAACTTCATAAAAGACCCATACACACGAACCTCACAAAATACATTCTTAAGGTGCAGAACAGTGTAAGTGCACTAATAAAATAGATTAACTAGAAACCTCTGTTCTAATAGGGCAAACCCCTATTGAGTGGATAGAAACATAGAATGTGACGGCAGATAAGAACCATTCGGCCCTTCTAGTCTGCCCAATTTTCTAAATACTTTCATTAGTCCCTGGCCTTATCTTATAGTTAGGATAGCCTTATGCCTATCCCAGGCATGCTTAAACTCCTTTACTGTGTTAACCTCTACCACTTCAGCTGGAAGGCTATTCCATGCATCCATTACCCTCTCAGTAAAGTAATACTTACTGATATTATGTTTAATGGCATAATCTTATTACTTGAAGCAGCTATGGTAAATGTTTCATCGTATTAGAATACATAACCTCACAGCTGCCAAAAAGCAAGTTGCAAGGGTATATTAACTAAACACTGGACTTTCAGAACATAGGTTTCTAGTGAATCTATTATATTAGTACACTTTTAGAAATAAGCACTTTTATTAATTTGTTAAAATGCCTCCACAGCTGTCAATCAGACATCCAGGGAGGTTTTCATCCACTTCTGTAGCTCCACAGAGTTAACTCAAGAGGCAGGCATGCTCGGCGAGTGCACGCCAGCCTTTCCTCCCTTCCCAATCAGCTGTTGTACAGCTCATTGAGAAGCCTAGGAAGCCACAATTTTGTGTGAATGCTTGTGGCTTTTTTCGCAGAGGCTTCTCAATGAGAAGTGAGTGATTGGTGTATTCTCCAGCACAGACTAAACATCCGTGCTGGGGGAAGAGGGGAAGACTTTCAATGGCTGCAGAGGTCTGCAGTTTTTCAGGCTGCTATTTACCCCCAAACAAGGCATGCATGTATGTTTTCTTTGTGGGTATATCTACTAAATTGTTTAACTTTTTGTTAAATGTATACTTTTTATTGCATTGCAACATAAATAAATAGGATTACAATTCCACACAAATATTTGTCAGAATCACAAGTCACACGGTTCACAAATGACAGGGTATACACAGCTGCGTAGCCTACATCAGAACAGTGCCATACAAATATTCGTACATATACAGTACTTTCATATATGCCAAAACAAGTATAAATATACAAATACAGTACAGTAGACATGTGCAATTCGTAATTTCAGACATTCGGATGCTTCGGACTTCTGAAAAGTGGCAAAACGGGTAGGGGCAGGATTGGGGTTAGGGTAGGGTTAGGGATAGGGGTTGGGATAGAGTTAGAGGTAGGGTTAGGAGTAGGGTTAAGTTAGGAGAAGGGTTAGGGTTTGGCAGGGCCACCAACAGAAATTTTGGGGCCCCTAACTCAGCTCAGGGTCTGGGCCCCTTGGGGCCCGCCTCCAATCCCGCCCACAGGGTCCGCCTCCAATCCCGCCCACAGGGTCCGCCTCCAAATCCCGTCCACAGGAATACACACACAGACACAAAAACACACACTGATACAAAAGGACACAGATACACACACACACACACACACACAGATACATACTAACAGACACACATACTGAAACAGACATACACGCATATAGGCATACATACTGACACACACATACTGAGACATACACACAGGCATACATAGTGACAGATAGACACATACTAACATAGATACAGACACACATGCATGAGGACATACACATACATACACCGACATACATACACACATACATACACATAGACATACATTCATTCATACTGGCATACATATGTATATACATACATACAGACATACTGACAGACATATATTCATACAGACAGACATACAGACACTGACATCCATACACACATACATACATACACAGACATACATTCATAATGGCATACATTCATACTGGCATACATGCATATATACAGACATACTGACAGACATACATACATACATACATACATTCATACATACCTACATACATGCATACTGACATCCATACACACATACACACAGACATACGTTCATAATGACATGCAGACATACATTCATACTGACATACTGACATACATGCATACATACAGACATACATTCATAATGACATACATACATATATACATACATAATGATAGGGGTCCAGTTCACGGTCCCTCAGACACTGTTGGGGGCCGGACAATAAACAATATGAACGAATTCCTATGCACACTGCACACACACGCATAAGGACATAAATACACACACACACATTCTGACATACATACATATATACAGGGAGTGCAGAATTATTAGGCAAGTTGTATTTTTGAGGATTAATTTTATTATTGAACAACAACCATGTTCTCAATGAACCCAAAAAACGAATTAATATCAAAGCTGAATATTTTTGGAAGTAGTTTTTAGTTTGTTTTTAGTTTAGCTATGTTAGGGGGATATCTGTGTGTGCAGGTGACTATTACTGTGCATAATTATTAGGCAACTTAACAAAAAACAAATATATACCCATTTCAATTATTTATTATTACCAGTGAAACCAATATAACATCTCAACATTCACAAATATACATTTCTGACATTCAAAAACAAAACAAAAACAAATCAGTGACCAATATAGCCACCTTTCTTTGCAAGGACACTCAAAAGCCTGCCATCCATGGATTCTGTCAGTGTTTTGATCTGTTCACCATCAACATTGCGTGCAGCAGCAACCACAGCCTCCCAGACACTGTTCAGAGAGGTGTACTGTTTTCCCTCCTTGTAAATCTCACATTTGATGATGGACCACAGGTTCTCAATGGGGTTCAGATCAGGTGAACAAGGAGGCCATGTCATTAGATTTTCTTCTTTTATACCCTTTCTTGCCAGCCACGCTGTGGAGTACTTGGACGCGTGTGATGGAGCATTGTCCTGCATGAAAATCATGTTTTTCTTGAAGGATGCAGACTTCTTCCTGTACCACTGCTTGAAGAAGGTGTCTTCCAGGAACTGGCAGTAGGACTGGGAGTTGAGCTTGACTCCATCCTCAACCCGAAAAGGCCCCACAAGCTCATCTTTGATGATACCAGCCCAAACCAGTACTCCACCTCCACCTTGCTGGCGTCTGAGTCGGACTGGAGCTCTCTGCCCTTTACCAATCCAGCCACGGGCCCATCCATCTGGCCCATCAAGACTCACTCTCATTTCATCAGTCCATAAAACCTTAGAAAAATCAGTCTTGAGATATTTCTTGGCCCAGTCTTGACGTTTCAGCTTGTGTGTCTTGTTCAGTGGTGGTCGTCTTTCAGCCTTTCTTACCTTGGCCATGTCTCTGAGTATTGCACACCTTGTGCTTTTGGGCACTCCAGTGATGTTGCAGCTCTGAAATATGGCCAAACTGGTGGCAAGTGGCATCGTGGCAGCTGCACGCTTGACTTTTCTCAGTTCATGGGCAGTTATTTTGCGCCTTGGTTTTTCCACACGCTTCTTGCGACCCTGTTGACTATTTTGAATGAAACGCTTGATTGTTCGATGATCACGCTTCAGAAGCTTTGCAATTTTAAGAGTGCTGCATCCCTCTGCAAGATATCTCACTATTTTTGACTTTTCTGAGCCTGTCAAGTCCTTCTTTTGACCCATTTTGCCAAAGGAAAGGAAGTTGCCTAATAATTATGCACACCTGATATAGGGTGTTGATGTCATTAGACCACACCCCTTCTCATTACAGAGATGCACATCACCTAATATGCTTAATTGGTAGTAGGCTTTCGAGCCTATACAGCTTGGAGTAAGACAACATGCATAAAGAGGATGATGTGGTCAAAATACTCATTTGCCTAATAATTCTGCACTCCCTGTAAACAGACAGACACAGACATATACATACACATTGAAATACATACAGATACTTACACACAGACAGACATACATACATACACATACTGACTTACACACACAGACATACATACTGACATACATACACACATACATGCTGACATACATACTGACAGACACACAGACACACATACATACTTACATACACACATACATACTGACATACACACATACATACTGACATACTGACACACACACATACATACAGACACACACATACATACTGACATTACATACATACACACATACATACGTACATACATACTGACCTATATACCGACGCACATACATACTGACACACATACATACATACATACTGACACACATACATACACACATACCAACATACATACATACTGACACACATACATAGATACATATTGCCATACACACATACATACTGACATACATACATACTGACATACTGACACACACACACATACATAGACTTACAGGTCCTGACATACATACATACATACATACATACTGAGATACACACATACATACATACACAAATACAGCTATTTTTGCTTACCTTTTTTTTGCAGGTGGAAGGCTGTGGTTGATGGGAGTCGGCGTGGCTCCTGCGGCCTGGCTTTCTTCCCTCCCGCGTGGAGGGGAACTTGGAGGTAGTGACGGCCACTTCATCCCAGCAGAACTTTGCAGCTGCGATTTTTTTTAAAGGGGCCCGGTCGCGCTATTTCACAGCTGCAGCGCTGACCGGGCCCCTGAAGATATAGGGCCCATGCGTGGGGATAGGCCCCAACAGCGTGCGGACCCCGGTGCAACTGCACCGGCAGCAGTTCCGCCGCTACACGTGTCACCCCCTGATGGCGGCCCTGGGGTTGGGTTAGGAGTATGGTTAGAGTTAGCGGTAGGTTTGGGTTAGGAGTAGGATTAGGGTAGGGTGAAGGGTAAGGTTAGGATTGAGCTAGCAGTAGGGTTAGAGTTAGGGTAGGGTTAGGAGTAGGATTAGGGGTGCCGAATTCCCAAAGTCCCAAATTTCGGAAGTGCCGAACCGAATTGCCGAAGTGCTGAATTGCCGAAGAGCCGAACTTCAAAATGCCAAACCAAACCAAATTTCTTTGCCCATGCACATCCCTACAGTACAGATGTATATACGCATATATGCAGGACCTGTACGTTAGACTTATATTTGGGACATCATAGCTCGATCGGTCATGCTCCTGTCTATTGTTTACTCGTAGGTGTATCACTAAACTCCATGATATATTTCTTATTCTTTGTCTTTTGACTAGGCTGGGCGTTGTAGTCCTGATATGTAGGCTGCTTTTATCTTGTTTGCATTTTTAAGAATAAAATATGAAAATAAACTAACAACATAAACTAAAGTTTTGGGTAGTGAGGGAAGTGGAGGGTGGAAGATTGTGTGAGGTATAGATGATCAGTAACAATCTAACGGTCTGTGGGATTGGATGGTGTGGACTATCATGGACTATCATAAGCATCCATTAGGTCTTGTTATGATCTACATGCTGATGTAACCTGTGAGTGGGCTTTAGTTACACCGATCTATAGGCAATGGGTGCGTAAGGCGGCCCGGTCATGCCACTGTTTGCTCTAGAGATCTATTTTACCCTGTATCCGGGAGGTCATTTGGTCATACACGTGTGTAGAGTCCACTGTGGCGAAACCAACCTCGCCACTGGGCATTGGAGAAGACTGATTGCCAGCCTCCTGCCATGTGACTATGGCCCCTGGGATGTATTGCCCTTTAAAGACATGATTTGGGCATAATGGATTTGTGTTGTGCTGCTGCTGGCCCTTTAAGAACTATCTGGGGACATACTGTGGAGTTACTGGGTGGCCATTATTTCCTGTATCAGAAGCACATGGTGAGAACAATGGATGGTGGCCATTTTAACTCACAGACACTGTTTGGACTTTTCAACACGGTGCCATCTCGACAGTATTTGGTGCACAGAGACATCGTGCAGTGGTTTTGGACTATACAGCAGGGGACACATTATACAGTGATTGTTTTTTATTTAGCCTGTATATGTTCTGCAGAATCTGCATTAAACTGTATTTTCCAAAGTACTGAACGGATCTGGGTTTTGGATATGTGGTTCACCCAGATCCCCCGGTTCCAAGGATATACTTTTTATGGGGTTATTGCATGTTTTGGGGTCCCTGTGATATGTTTTATGAAACTGTATTTCTCTGTCTGTGATAATTAGATTACCCATCGTGTTCAGTAATCATATCACAGGCAGAGGGGAGGATTTTGTGTGGGAGTGTCTGTGTGAATTGTACAGATTGATTGGTTGTTCTGTAAAACCCTGTGGGCAGTACTAAGTTTGTGGATTGGGAATAAAAGAGGCTGTATGTGCCAGTACAGTCAGTTCCTGTTTTAACCCTCAAAGTGAAGTGTCGTCTCATTATTGGGGGAAGGATTTATTGTATGCTGTTCCAGTTTGACTGCTAGGAGAGTAAACCTATTCGTATGGTTCCTATTTAACTGTCTACAGCATTTAAATGCTTGGGAGAATTTATTTGTTTCTCCGGTTCGGTGATTGTGGTGTCTACCAGAGTGCTTGGAGTCCTCAGGAAGTGCTAGGAGCATCCTTCAACGGAGGTACCCAGTCTGGGTGCCAGGTGATCCGTTACATCCACTCTCTGAAATTTTTCTTTTACTGAAGAATGGTGAGCTATGCTCAATTTTGCTTCTATCAGTATATTGAGTATCCGTGTCCTATTAGGAAGAGAGTGAAGCTCGGGGAAAAGATGTAATAAGTAGTGTTCTGGTAGCTTAGGGATTGTGAGCCAGCTACCTTTGTCTACTTTGTCAGCTATATCATTCCAGAACTGAGATAGCTCTGAACATTCCTAGAAAACATGCAGAATCATACCCGGGGTCAATTGGCATCTCCAACAAATTGGATCAACCTCCTTATAAATTTGAGAGATCTGTTGAGGAACCATGTACCAGCGCATCAGCAATTTGGTATGTGCTTCCCAACGTGATAGGCTGTTACTGGAAGCTTTGGTATAGCTTATGGCTGATAACCGTCGATGTAATGGGAATATTTTGTTCATATCTTTTTTCCAGCGATGCATGTAGGGAAGTTTAAGGTTTACATAAATGCATGTAGCATTCTGCTAGCGATTTCAATTTGGTTTTACCAAGCATATATGATCTGCCCATGGTAGAAAGGTGTGAGAGATTTGAGAGTCGTATATGTTTTGTCATCAGAATGCTCTTTATGCGGTGGTAGGTTAATAAATCTTTCAGATCTAGGGAAAATTCTGCCTGTAATGCGGGGTCTTGTTTTATTCCCTTGTGGTAACAGAGAGCGGAAACTTTAACAATGTCTCGAGAAAGCCATGAACTCAGGGGTAAGTCAGGGGATATAGCCTCCAGGGCCTGAAGTGGGGCTAACTTCAGTAAAGAAGCTGGATCAATCAACATTCTGCTCCAAGACTTCCATGTTAATACCAGCACTATAGTGCATAACAGGTCTTTGATAGATTGCAAGGGTGTATTAGTCCACAGTAAAGTAGAAAGAGAGGTAGGGAAAATACATGCATTTTCCAAGGAAAGCCAGATGGACAGTGGTGTACATACCAGGGTCGCAGGGGTCGCGGCTGCGACCGGGCCCGGCCCACCAGGGGCCCGGCCGTCCCTGCGACCCGGTATGTAGCCACAGGGCCAGCCTCTTCCCCTGGGGGGCCCAGGAGGCGGCCACCTCAGGGCCCCCGAGGCTGGCCCTGCTGACCCCGGCGGGCGGGTGGCCGGTCGGGCAGGCGGGCGCGCGAGGGAGCACTCTCTGTGTGCTTCCTCTTCTGCTCCCTCGCGCACCGCACTGATACCGGAGCCGGAAGATGACGTCATCTTCCGGCTCCGGCATCCATACGCAGCGCGCGAGGGAGCAGAAGAGGAAGCACTGAGTGCTCCTTCGCGCGCCCGCCTGCCCGACCGGCCACCCGCCCGCCGGGGTCAGCAGCACCACTGGACACCAGGGAATCCCCCCAGCACTCCAAAAGGAGGCTGGGGGGATTAAATAAAAAAAAAAAAAAAACATGTGTTAGTGTTTGAGTGTGTGTGAGTGTTAGTGTGTGTGTGAGTGTTAGTGTGAGGGTTTGAGTGCGTGTGAGTGTTAGTGTGAGTGTTAGTGTGTGTGTCTGCTAGTGAGTGTTAGTGTGTGTGTGTCTGCTAGTGAGTGTGAGTGTTAGTGTGTGTCTGCTAGTGAGTGTTAGTGTGAGTGTTAGAGTGCGAGTGTGTGTGTCTGCTAGTTAGTGTGAGTGTTAGTGTGTGTGAGTGTTAGAGTGAGTGTTACTGTGTGTGTCTGCTAGTGAGTGTCAGTGAGTGTGTTACTGTGTGTGTGTGTGTGTTAGTGAGTCTGATGTCTGTTAGTGAGTGTGTGTTTGTCAATGAGAGTGTATGTTTTGTGAGTGTGTATGTATGTCTGTCGCTGACTGTGTCTCTGTCAGTAAATGTGTGTGTCTGTTAGCTAGTGTGTATGCGTCTGTAAGTGTGTGTGTGTGTGTGTGTGTCTTCAGCACTTACCTTTCTCCAGCGCCGGACACCCTTGGCGCTGAGGATCCCTCAGCCTCTCAGCTCCGAATGCGACCGCGCACGCATTCAAACCGCCCATAGGAAAGCATTACTCAATGCTTTCCTATGGACGTTCAGTGTGCTCTTCTAGCGGCTGTCAGTGAGACAGCCACTAGAGGCTGGATTAACCCTCAGTGAAACATAGCAGTTTCTCTGAAACTGCTATGTTTTCAGCTGCAGGATTAAAACTAGAGGGACGTGACACCCAGACAACTTCATTGAGCTGATGTGATCTGGGTGTCTGTAGTGGTCCTTTAAAGAACCACTATAGTGCCAGGAAAACATACTCGTTTTCCTGGCACTATAGTGCCCTGAGGGTGCCCCCACCCTCAGGGACCCCCTCCCGCCCGGCTCTGGAAAGGGGTAAAACTTACCTTTTTCCACCGCTGGGCGGAGAGCTCTCCTCCTCCGATCCTCCTCTTCTCCTCCCGTCGGCTGTATGCGCACGCGCGGCAAGAGCTGTGCACGCATTCAGCCGGTCACATAGGAAAGCATTCATAATGCTTTCCTATGGACGCTGGCGTGCTCTCACTGTGAAAATCACAGTGAGAAGCACGCAAGCGCCTCTAGCGGCTGTCAATGAGACAGCCGCTAGAGGAAATAGGGGAAGGCTTAACCCATTCAGAAACATAGCAGTTTCTCAGAAACTGCTATGTTTATGAAAAAATGGGTTAACCCTAGCTGAAGTGGTCATTAAGCTGAAGTGGTCTGGGTGCCTAGAGTGGTCCTTTAAGTGTGTGTGCATCTGCATGCACTGGCGTACATACAGGGGTCGCAGCCCTGTAACCTCTGCGATCAGGTGCCCACCTTCATGTGTTGCGGCCCGGCCCGCGCGCGCGCGGGGGGGGGCACGGATCAATTTTCGCACCGGGGCCCCATGGGTCATGTGTACGCCACTGCAGATGGATGTTACTTGTTTTAAAAGCATATCGGTGCCTTGTGCTAAAAGGGAAGCTCTATGGTAATTTCGTATGCAAGGGATGCCTAGACCTCCCGCCTGTGCAGGGAGCCACGACAACTGCTTTGCTACTCGTGGAGGCTTTTTTTTTCCAAATATGGGCATTGAGCATTTTCTGTAAACGATTAGGGAGATGATTCGGTAGTGAAATAGGAATAGTCCTAAATAGATATAGAATATGTGCCAAGGAGCCAAACTCAATCATCCAGAGTACAGTGATACATTAGATAAACAAGCATAAGAAAATTGCATTGTCATTAAATAGTACTGGCCATGCACAGTAGAGGCTGATTAATAGTAGACTTGGTTTATACAAAAGGCTTGGCCAAGAATATATGACATTATATGCACATAACTCTTAAGGGAGGTCACTCTGCTTATCAGGTTATCTGCTTTTCATTCAGAATGCTTTTTATTCTTCATAGGAGCTCCATTATTGTTGGTGTGTCTGAGTATGTAGACAAATGTAACACAACCCCACAGCAATAATATTCAAAGTCATGTGTAAACTACAATAAATATGTTTAGAAATCCAGCAGTGTAAATAAGTTACACTGTTCTAGTTCTAAATCACATTTTAGTTGCCTAGATTGCCATTAGTAAGTCATCTAAAATATATGTCTCTCTTTGTCTATTTTAAATTGGGAGGTAAGAAAAAAAACCCAGACAGACAAGGGATATTGAACAAGGGCTAGCAGCATTGGGAATTCAGCAGTGGAGACAAACAATTTGGAAACCGCAGGTGTTGGGTAATAGGCAGCTAATGAGTTATATTAGATATAAACCATTAGATATAAACCATAAAAAGTTTTATTCACTAAACAGGATTGTGGGGTGTCAAAAACTGTATTTTACTATTCAGGCCAACAGAGTAATAATAAAATTATTAATACTTAAACTCAGTTATTTGAATGAATATTTCAGTTGAGTTTTAAATTTACTATACTTCATTCTTTACTAAATAAACCTCTATAATTTAAATTGATTATTTGTATATACAAAAAACAAACAATCATCCTATTTTTAGTGGAATATATAAACAATTAGATCTATAAACACTGGGTGCTGTCATTTTCCCTTAAGGATCAATTATATTTTTGTATCCATTATAACCTAGTTCCCAAATTGCTTACACTAACATGTAAAGCCACCTAGACTTAGCACAAGTGTAGAATCAGATTTATAGAATCAGCATTGATTATTTTGTGAGTATATTTACTAGATATCTATTTAACACTACCTATACAGTTTGAATTGACATGCAATATTTGTTACTGTAGTTTTCAATTGATACTTTGGTTGACCCTGTATTATTTATACATATATGATTTATTCATTTCACATTTCAACAACCTTCAATTCGGGATGTGCATGGGAAAAAAATTAGGTTCGGAAATTCGAGTAAGAAAAATAATTCGACAATTCGGCACTTCGGCAATACGGTTTGGTTCGGCACTTTCGAAATTCGAGACTTCGGCAATTCGGAACTTCGGACATTCAGAAGCATCCGAATGTCCGAATTGCCCGAAATTCATCCGAATTCACATTCGGAACTAAACAAATTGCATATGTCTACCTTCAACCCTTGAATAAATTTTAAGTTTCCAAATGTGTTTGATAATTTGATTCCTATTGTCATACTACATAGATCCTGACAGCAAAGCACAGGCACATCAGAAGCACAAGCACATCAGAACAACAACAAAGTACAAATTCAGATAATCCTACAATGCCTTCACCTCTTTGAGAATCAATTCATTTTTGATTAAGAAAACTTTTTATAAATTTTTTGAATCTGAAAACTCAGAAGCTGTATACCACCGGGGGGGGCCTCCTGGTACCATAACAATTTAATTTAGATGAAGTTATTTTGGTGCCTGAAGTGTCTCTTTAATAAATAAGAATAAACGACCCTGAAATCCAGTGCTGGGCGAAGCTATTCTGGATTCCATGCTCTGTCTGACGTCACCTATGCCTGCTCTTAGTCTAATCAAATGCTTCTCGTAGAGCTCTGAGCCAAGGAGAAGAGTAAATGGGGGTGAACAAGGGAGGGAAAGAATTTTTAAAAATGGATGCACAATAAATAGTATAGGGAGGCTGAGGGGGTGGGGGTGGTTAACAGAAAGCAGAGAGGGGAGATAGAAGCTTCCCCTTGCAGGTGCACACCCAGCACTGCCTGCAGATGTAGAAGATCATTACATCTGTTGCCAGTGCGCAGTGCTTGATAATGACAGATGTCATTTTTGTACTGAATTGACATTAGGCAGACCGAAACTGAATTCTAGGCTGCCTAATTCATTTGTGCCATGGATGCAACTAACCTCGGTTCAAAAATATAAACATCTCTGTATGTGCACCATTTCAAGCAGAAACACTGCACATACACATTCATACCATCATGACAACTTATAACAAGAGAAATGGTCATGGTGGTTGGAGTATCCTTTTAATCCTAGATTTAACTTCTTTTAAAAGCTAAACACCCCATGGACCCCAATACTCAATTTAACCCCACGTCAACCATAAATCCAGACTTATAAATCCCTTATACTAAACCATAACCCCTCTCGAGTTTTTAATCCACTTGCCAACAAACACTCTTTCTAACCTTAACCACCCCCTTTACCATGACCACTTCTAACATTACCTTTAACTCTGCGTGCATTTACACAGTTGCAGACACTCACCATACTCTCCGTTTTAAACGCAAGACATTACAAGTAGAAATTTACACACATATGAATTGTTATATTTGAGTATGGTTTTTAGACATTCTTATGCGTGCACTGTCCAGTTAATACATTATTGAAACTTTCTTTAACTGACTATGTTTTGGGAGGAGGGGAGAGCATGGGGTGCCTTAGAATTCTGTTTCTACAGACACCTAACATGTAAATCCAGCCCTGGTTATGGTAGAGCAGGGGTGCCAAAAAGGTAGATACCCAGATGTTTTAAAACTACAGCTTCCTTGATGCTTTGCCATTCTTAAGGCATTCCATATGAGTTTTAGTTATGAAACATATGCCGTTTTAGTTCTGAAACATCTGCCTTTTGGGCACCCTTGTGTTAGAGTATATGATTGTAACAAAAGTGTCTCTTATTGTAAGTTACAAACCAATCAGCATGTGTATTACTAAAAATACCTTGTTTTCTAGGATGCAACAGACTATGTTGCTTATGTAGCAAAAGATCCTGTTAATCGACGAGGTAAGATTATTTTCAAATATTCTCATAATACACTAGTTTCATTTCAGTGTTTATATCTGTATGCCTGGTTTATTTCTTTGATATAGCTTGTCACATATTGGAATGCTGTGATGGGCTGGCTCAAGATGTAATCAGTACCATTGGGCAAGCATTTGAACTTCGCTTCAAACAATATCTACAATGTCCTTCTAAAATCCCAGCATTTCCAGACAGGTAAGGATGCTTTAATATATATTTATTTTTTTAACAATTTTTTTCAAGACTTTAGTTTGATGACAGTCCAATATATGAGTACCCAGACCACTTCATCTCATTGAATTGATTGCTGGGTGCAGTGTTCCTGTCTGTCTTCCTGTTAGCGAAACTGCAATTGCAGTGCTAAGACTGCCTCTAGTGGCACTTCTAAAGGGACGTCTTGTAGTTGCACATAGTTTCACTCCGCGAAAGGACGCTGGACGTCCTCATGCTTTGAATGAGGACATCCAGTGTACTCTAAATCCCTATAGGAAAGCACTGATTAAATGTTTTCCTAAGGGTAAAGCCTAATGCGCATGCGGCACTTGTCATGCGCATTAGGTCCTCTCTATCGGCTGATGTCAGCGGAGGAGGAGTGCCACCCACAAATGAGGGACCTCGGGGCTGGAATCAGGTAATTGACCCGAAGGGTTTTTTAACCTCATCTTTGTATTCCTAACACTAAATTGCTCCTTTAATTGTACAAATACAGCAATAAACAAGTAATTTATTTTCAACATATTTTCATTAAATGACCACTAACGGCTGTCAATGAGACGGCAACTAGAGGCTGGATTAACCCTAAAGTAAACATAGCAGTTTCTCTGAAACTGCTATGTTTACAGAAAAAAGTGTTAATCCTAGAGGGACCTGGCACCCAGAACACTTCATTAAGCTGAAGTGGTCTGGGTGCCTAGAGTAGTCCTTTAAGTGAAACTCCATATCCCTAAAGCACTGCAGCTTGTTGAAGTGCTTTATGTGTAACAATTGTGTCCTCTTTTTTCATTTTACAAAAAGATTTCCATAGAAATAATAAAGAAAAATGGTAGGTAGCGGGTATTCCTCGAATCTGGGAAAGCCTACAATTCAGCATAAGGAAGGCAAACCACAAATGATCAGTCAGCACTAGAACTGGCTATCTAACCACAGACCCCTAAAGCTTTTGACAGGATACACTGGACCCATCCAGTTCATCCATCAGATTTGTATCTTGGATCTTACGATAGACCATAGACCAAGGTGGAGGATTTTCTAAAAGTATTTTTAGGTACATCACATGAATACTAGAATGCATTAACCAACATATTCCCTAGCAACATAAATAGGATAGAACACTAGGTGCAAATTCACTCAGGTACTCCCTCAAGTACCCTAACAACTATGAATTACAAGATTAGAGAATGCACACTATAATCACTACTTCAAAATATAAAAATCCTTTATTAAAAAAAAATGCTTACTTACATAAGCAAATAAATAAAGCAACAAAAAAATAGGCAAAATAGTAAACAATAGTAATTACCTAATCTCCACAAACCTACTATGACATGAGGGGGTATTGGTGGCTCGTGTTTCTGTCATAGTAGGCTGGCACTGAGTGTATATGTGTCTGTCAGTGAGTGTGTTTGTGTGTTTGTCAGTGTGTGTCTGTCAGTGAGTATATGCATGTCTCAGTGTGTGTGTCTGACTCTGATTTGGTGTGTGTCTGACACAGAGTGACCATGTGTCTGTCAGTGAGTGTGCATCTGTGTATGTGTGTCTGTTGGTGAATGTGTGTGTCCATCCATCAGTGAATGTGAGTGAGTGTGTGTGTCTGTCAGTGAGCAGTGAGTGTGTGTAACTTTGAGTGAGTGTAACTGTGAATGTGTGTCAGTGAGTGTGTGTTTCAGTGAATGTGTGTGTTTTAAACAGTGGGTGTGCCAATGACTGTAAGCATCAGTTAGGGCATGTGTCTGTCAGGCAAAGATTGTGTTGGTTTTAAAAAGGAAGAGAAATTTAGAGAGGGGTGGGGAGGGGTGGTGCCCCAGTTTTGTAATGTGTAGGGCAGCACAAAAATAAAATACACCACTGGATACAGTGCAAGAAAACATCACCCCAACACAGGTAAAATTGAGACAGGGCTTATTCAGAGAGATATGTGGCAGCCCCATTCCTGTTTAATAGCAAATGTAGTGAGAGGGACATTCAGACGAGATGTAAGCATTCAAAGTGTCAGGAAACTAGGAAGAGCAGTAAAATAGGCAGAAACATTTATTTGTCAGTACATGAACAGCTCACGTAAATGACTTAGCAGTGTTCTAAGTATGAAAGGTGTTTTCAGGCCTGGTCCATCTCTCCAAAATTCTCACTTGTGTTTCCTGAGTGCTTGGCATCCACTCTGCTACGTAAGCCTCCATTGATGTGCCTATTTCTGCATGCTGTCAGAGGAGGCCTTTGACATACCTAGTATAGTATTCAAGATGATGGTCATTCAATGCCTGTAGCTTGAGGAAACAGTAAAACTATATCAAAGATTGTCAGGCTTCTGCTTGACTTGTCGTGTAATATACCTGACACCAGGGGGAGGGCTGGCAGCCTTAGGCCTGGGGGGCAAAACCAGTCAAGTGGCCCATTGCACCACCAAATCAGTTCACCATCCATGCCCACCTTTTCCTGGTTTTATAATGGATATTGATGTTATGATAATCAGTAGCTCTTTGCCATACCTGCTCCTTCGCGGCTCTGACTTTCAATGTTGTTAGAGTGCAGGCTGAGAATCTCTGAGCCTGTGCTCTGACTCACTAACTGAGTGCCGGAACCACGAGGGAGAGGATATAATCTGACTGCACCTACTGCTGGTGCACACCAGTGGACCACCAGCGAATCGTTTAAATTGAATATGCTGGTGTCCCCAACTTGTGAGCTGTGTTGGCCGCCGGGAGCCTCTGTTGTCATGGCACCCTGCGTGACCACACAGCGTGCACACCCCAACGGCTGGCCCTGCTGACACACACTGATGTTACTACTTAGAAATCCCTCAATATTAATACAGACATCAGAGTAAACACCAATAAACTGTGAAAACAGAGCTGACCCCCCCCAAAATTTATAAAGATTTGCTTAGTGGATTTGTTGTAAGATTAAATCATGCCTCCTCCTCTCTCTCTCTCCCATGCGCTGCTCTGTAGGCTGGGAGGAAGTGAAGAGTAATCACATTCTCCCAGCACAGCACCACATGTGGCTGCATGGGGAACAGCTGGTTAATGTAATGCTTGCAGGACGGCCAGCTGCCGCAGAACCTCTTTGTTCCCGTCTCTGCAAAGGGCTCCAGGCACTGCTTGCTGTGAGTGTGAGCCACTTTAAATTAGGGTCAGAGGGCACTTGCATTGCGGTAAAGACGGGTCTGGGCAGGAGGAAAGTGCAGTGCAATCAATTATGGTTATTATTACCAATACCTTACTAATCTTTTTCGCTATTTTATTTATATATTTGGTAGGCCTATACATTGTACGATTGGGAAATTAGCCTTGATTTAAATTAATGCTACATTTTTTTGCTAGTTTCATTTTTTAAAAATAAAATGGTAAAAATAATGTCTATTAAATTTAGCATATCTTTTTCTGACTTCATATGTTATAGACATAGATTGCATAGATAGATTGCTCAAGATAAGTGACATTTTACACATTCTATAAAGTGTAATATGTCATAATTATTAATTGGGTGTAATATTTCTTTACATAAACCTTATTTTCTATTTACATAAAACAAGTTATATTCCCAGAACATTAAGGGCTTGAACCCTGTGCATATAATGTACTTGTCTCATTGATGATATTCTTTAGATTCACTTTGCATAGATAATATATATAAAACTTTATTACCTTTTTTTTAGAATGCAAAGTTTAGATGAACCATTGTGGCCAGAAGATGATGGAGCTACAACAGAACCTCAGTATTACAACAGTATCCCAAACAAAATGCCTCCTCCAGGAGGAATCATTGATGAAAGATTAAAAACACAGCTTCCAAGCCAAGAAGACGACTCCAAGGTATATAGTTATACAAAACCTATATGGATAATTGCAATCTTTGTCTTTGCAAATATAAACTGCAGGGTCTTCTTCTGTAGTGCTTTATATGTTTATTAGGCTAGTGTTAGTTTTGTTTAGAAACCACTTTAGGAGACCTGATACTGGAGTATAATCAGGAAACATCAGTAAATTGTTGTAAATTGAAAATCGAATCGCAAAATTTAGACCAATATAGCTGATTAGAAATAATTTTATCATGAATTAAGCAAAATGGTTTACAAATGACCACGTTTCACTGTATTTATAAGAGCATTTTGTTTTCTCAATACTGTATGTACAATTGAAATCAAAATTATTCAACCCCATGTAAATCAGATTGTCAAAATGTACAGACTTTTAGCTGTTTTCATTTAAGAAACAAAAGCAATTGATATAGCTCAATACAACAAATGCTTCAAAATGTTTTCCAAAATTCAACTGAAAATGCAACTTATAATGACTTCTCCAGTCTCAAAATGTTTCAATTCCCTTACGAGAGCACACATATACAAAACAGGTGTTCTCTGAAGCACATCTGATGCAACTAATCAAGAGCTTAATTAATTGCCCCAGGTGTGCTTGAGCTGGAACACTTGAAATACCTAAACTGACTGGGGTTTTTTTGAGTGTCATAGTTGACTGAATATTAGATATATGGCTGAATCAAAAGAAGGGTTCACAAAATTCCCTTCACAAACAAGGAACAGGATACAAAAAGATAGCGAAAGAATTGAATGTTTCTAGAGACACCGTTAGACGCATAGCTTGCAAGCTCAAAGTTTAAGAAACAGTGGTTACATTACCTGAACGGGGCAGAAAAAGGAAGCTATCAATTGCTGCAACCAGATTTCTGAGAAAGCATGTTGTGAAAAAAACATTAACTGTAAAAGACCAAGTCTTGCTGCAAAAGACATGCAGCAAGCCTTGGTGGCAACAGGCACTGAGGTTTCAGTGATCACAGTTAGGCATATACTAAATGCAGACTATTTCCATGCCAGAAATCCAAGACGTACACCACTACTGACCCAAAAGCACAAGAAAAGGCTGCCATATGCTCAAAATCATATAAATAAGTCACATACGTTATAGGATTCTGTTTTGTGGCATGATGAAACAAAACTGGAACTCTTTGGCCATATAGATCAGCGATATGTCTGGAGAATGAAGCATATGCTGAAAAGAACACACTGCCTACAATTAGGCATCCTCTGACACTGGAAACCTGTAGTGTGTGGAAGGCAAGATGGATTAATTTAAGTATATGAAATCCTAGGAGAAAATGTAATGCTGTCTGTGAGGATGCTGAAGCTTGAACGTCATTGGACCGTCCAAAAAGACCTTCAACAATTATCTCAAGTATACCTCATATTCCACCACGGTTTGGTTGCAAAAAAGTCCTGAAGAATTCTACAGTGGCCATCAGAGTCACCTTACTTGAACACCATAGAAAATCTTTGGTGAGATTTGAAGAAGGCGGTTACATCACGCAAACCCAAGAATACTACTAAACTGAAGGCCATTGCTCATGAGCAATGGGCTAAGATTCTTCAGGAACACATCCAGAAGCTGTTGTCTGGCTATGCATCTCGTTTGCAGCAGGTCATAACAGCAAAAGGGTGCTCTACTATTTCATTTCTTGCCATGAACAGGTTGAATAATTTTGAGACTAGAGAAGTCATTATAAGTTGCATTTTCTGTTGAAATTAGTGAAACCACGTGAAGTATTCGTTGTGTTGAGCTTTTTCAATTGCTGTTGTTTGACTTGTTCATTGCAAACAGCTGAAAGTCTGTATGTTTTGACAATAAGCCTGATTTTCAAGGGGGTTTAATAATTTGAATACGGCTAAATAGTCTAATCTAGCATGTAGACATAAACACTGCACTTTGAAATGTTATGGCAGATACCATCTAAATATCTAATTTTCCACCCAATACTGTATATTTGAATCTTTATCTATACCGGTAATTTTGTTTCTTCTACCTAAGCTACAGACAAAAGGCAATGTTGACATGCAGGTCTTACAAATTGTGCCTCTTGCTACCAACTATTTATATGACAAATAAAAATTATAGTAATTATTTTATTTCCAAATTAGTTCATAAACTCTTCTGGAGTAGAGCAGACCTACTATCAAGGTCGTCATATGGTTGAAAAGTCAAATGAAAACTTCCAGCAAGCTATTAAAAGACAAGGTAAAGTCATTTATTTTAAATAAACACATATTTTTGCTTTTGTGAATTATTTTTTAGTTTTGCTCAAGTTCTAAATAAATACTAATTTACTTATTAAATGTTGAATGAAGCGAGAATCTGTCCCAGCTGATTAAATGTTGAATGAAGCGAGAATCTGTCCCAGCTGATTAAATGTTGAATGGAAGGGAGAATCTGTCCCAGCTGCAGATATGGGGACTTTTTGGACTTGCTGTTGGTAAACTTATTTAGGTGTGAGACAATGTTTTCAAATGATTAATGGAATGTTGAAAAACAGAGGTAAGTTGTTGCATTGTAAATATATTATGACATTTCTCTTTCCTTTTTTATTCCAAATACCACAACTATCAAATATCATTTTTGTGTAAATTTACTCCTGTGTGAGCTCTTTTATAACTAGCAACAACTGATAAACATTTTCACTGTGGCTAAGTAAGAGATATGCATGAAGACACCTACTGGTATTATCATTAGTATATCATGTCTAGTGAATGAAAAACTAAAAATGTATTATGATTTAGACACTCAAGGTAAGTAAAATAGCAGTTTTATTGGAAAAGCAGAACACAAGCAGCATCGTTTCGACCTGCAATGAGGTCTTTGTCATGCTCAAGGTCTTTGTCCTATGGAACATTAGTGGGTGAAAAATGTCATTAGAGAACAGACATATCTGACTTTTTTCTGGTGGAAACAAAATATCATGCAGGCAGAACTGATAATGTTGGATTTTTTTTTATCAGTGATCATAACAGGAGCAGCCAAAAATTATTTTATTTTGTGTTTATTTTCCCAGAAAAATCTGTTGATATTTTTGATTTTTTTTGTATAGCCTCTTTAGACATTTATAGTCTGCCAGAGGGAAAGTCAACAGGAAATCAAACAAGCAATGCACCAACATATGTCAATACTCAGCACATAAACAGAAAACCTTTGGGAGCCTTTCAAAGAAGTGTAGATTCAGCATTCTGTGGATCAATTGACAGTTCCAGGGACATCAACCAAAGAAAAGATCTATTTGACATGAGTAAGTACTTTTGTCTGCATAAAATCCTGGCCACAGAACAGTGAATTATAAGACATGTGTTAAAGGGGGAATACATGCAAAAGTAGTAAATGTGCTACATTAACCAGTGAGTAATAACTGCAATGGATTGTCAGGTGTCAGTTTCACTCTCTCTTTGGAAGTTTAAAAAAAGCAAGGAATTGGTTAATGGAGCAGGTGAGAGGATTGGGAAGTAGGATGTAGAGGAGACAGTAGATGATATGGATATTGCATAATTAACTGTATTAGACACCTCTGTATGAATATATGTGACTTAATATCAATGGATATGTCACTGCACTAACAATTAGATTTAATGTAAAGCTGGCCAAGAGCAATTCGATTCAGGAGAGGATACAAAATATGCTTCCTTTGATGATACAATTAGTTTCACCTATTCAGGACAGTATTTTGATCTTGAGTGAGGAAGATGCAATCAGGCAAGTTAAAGGACCACTATAGTGCCAGGAAAACATACTCGTTTTCTTGGCACTATAGTGCTCTGAGGATGCCCCCACCCTCAGGGTCCCCCTCCCGCCGGGCTCTGGGGAGAGGAAGGGGTTAAAATCTTACCTTTCTCCAGCGCTGGGCGGGGAGCTTTCCTCCTCCTCTCCTTCTTCCTAGCGACGTCATCGGCATGAGCCGCGCGTGCATTCAGCCAGTCTCATAGGAAAGCATTCATAATGCTTTCCTATGGACGCTGGTGTCTTCTCACTGTGATTTTCACAGTGAGAAGCACGCAAGTGCCTCTAGCGGCTGTCAATGAGACAGCCACTAGAGGCTGGATTAACCCTCAGTGTAAACATAGCAGTTTCTCTGGGTTAATCCTATCTGGACCTGGCACCCAGACCACTTCATTAAGCTGAAGTGGTCTGGGTGCCTATAGTGGTCCTTTAATGGTTGAAGTGAAAATGAAATAAAGTGGGTAAGACAAGAAATTAATCAAAAGGGTGCAAAGGGAAGGTTAATGGAATGAGGAGAAGAGGAAAACTAGAGAAAGTAATGAAGGAAGATAAGCAAAAATAAATTAACACATTTATGAAAGAGAAGGAAAAATTAAGAAACAAGTTTGTAAAATCGTAGTAGTGATAACTGTAGATCCCTCTTCAGATGTATTTATTTATTTATTTATTTATTTATTTATTTTCAGTTTTCCTTTTATTTTTTTTTAATTTTTTTTTAAATTCTTTATTTTTATTGTGCAAGTGATATCAAACGAGCCCGTGTTGCCACATCAGCAGTCACAAGCTTAATAGAATCTTACATTGTCAAACATGGCAAATAGATAGATAGTCTGCACAGTTTTATATTATTAATAAACAGGTGTTAAACTGAGAAGGCATCAATAATAATGAGAGCAACATAAAATGAGATAACATAAGATTAAGTCTAAAGATGAAAGCATTGCTATTCAGGCTTACAGTGCTAACATTGCTTAGGTGAGCAGTTATCCTGGCTTGGTGTCACATTAAGTTGGCATTAACTAATGTATCTGCGTTGATATCGCTTTTCAGGCGCTTTCACCTGTTTTGTATATCAGGACAGGTGAGGTACACGCTTCTATAGAACAAAGTGCCATAAAGCAACATTTGGTCTGCGCTCTAAGTTATGGTCATTCAGTGTTATGGTGTCAGGATCTCCACCTCGGCGTACACGTGCATATTAAACAGGCTAAACAATAGCGTTGACATTAGCGTATTTTTGTTGGTAATTAGTGGCTAAGTTTGTTGGATGATCTTGCTACGTTAACAGATACAGGCATGTAAACTGAGTGTTGTAGGATTGAAATGTGTAGTGCTATACGCTAGCTTAGCCTTCATGCTGAAGACATGTTAGTTCTTGTATTCAGTTATACAGTCTGCCCGTTCTATGGTCATTACAGATAATGCTGGTTTACAGTGCTATAGATGTAGACATGCTGTTGTCATAAGACATCCAGTATATAAAAACAAGTGATTATAGGAACACATTCTTTGTGAGAAAAGGACATAGATTGATCATGAGCACTGTGTGCTATCAGATTATATTAAGGAAAGCATAACTGGTGAGAGTGTAAAGGTATAATAACAGGAAGGATCAATTCAGTACTTGCTCAGAGTGGTTGTTTAACTGTCTGGAACACATATTTGAGTATGCATGTTGTGAACAAGTAGTGATACAGGAGCCGACCCAGATACTGTAGTATTACAGTGTGGGGAAGTCTGCTTTGCTGTCTGGGGTCATCCAATGCCTGCAATGGCAATCCGTTGGTGCTGTGTGCCATATTCCATCGAGGCAGGGGCTGGGGCAGTGTCCTGAGAGGTAAGTGTCGGCATCTCACCGAGAAATCCTTTGGGCTGTTGCATTTGTTCGGCGCATGGAATAGATAGGCAGAGGGTCGTGGCTGATCTGTGCACCCTGGCTTGGTAGCTGTTCCCCTTTTTCAATGGCTCAGCTGTAGTAGCGCTATGCTGTGTCATTCGGTCCTTCCCTCGCCTTGGGTATTTAGAGGAAAGTGGAAGTATCCGTTTACGGCGGATGATCCTCCGTTTGCGCGGCATGTGCAGGGAGGCAGTGCCTCGGGGTGCTGTCCTCTTAGGTGGCGTTATGGCCATTGCTTTGGCTATGTTTTTCTGCTTTGGGCGGTTAATGCCCCTCTGTCTCTCCCTCCGCTTTGTCGTGTTGCTGGTTAATCGCTCTTGTGGTGTCGTTGCCAAAATCAGGTGCCTCGGCCGCGTGTGAGAGAGTGTGTGTTGTCGCTTTACCAGTGTAGCTGGTTTCAGAGCGGGTGGTGGGTTCCTCTTTCCCAATCTCTCCCAAAATTTCCGGCATACCTCCTCAAATTTAGCCTGAAAGGCCGCTGTCCATTCATCGGCTGTCTGAGGCGGTGGATTCGCGGCACTGCCGGCAGCCATCTTGGCTTGGCCTCGTGGGGTCGATTGGTCGGAATTGCTCTTATAAGTGTCCCAGAGGTGAGTGCTCACCGTAAGCTGGTGGACCGGGATGACCCCCGCCGGTCCAGAGGGGGGGAAGCGAGAGCCCGCCGCCAGATATCCGGCATGGTGTTGCAGCTGGGGAGCGGCCGTCTCCCCTGCGCCTGCCATGCTTGTAGGCCTCACAGTGAGTTTAGCTCGGTTCTTCGCTTGAGAGGTATCGTTCTCCTCACTCCGATGCCCACTCTTGAGTGCTGGCCTTATAATCATGATTGTGTGCCGGTGTGGCAGTGAAATTCGGCTTTAGGTTGCTAAGTTTAGCAGGAGCTGCTGAGATAAGCGTCTTCACAGCTCTGCGGTTAGGCCCCGCCCCTCCAGATGTATTTATTTTACCACAAAAATACCATAATTAAGTCAAATTTGTAGTTTGAATGTAGCTTTCATATTACCTCAGAGATTTAAAATAATGTTAGAAATGTGTAGACCTATGGGTTTATTCATGAAATGGCAAACTGACAAGTGAATATTTTCCCATAATGAAAAAACATTGCACTTCACTTATTAATTAATCAGTTTACACTTAAAGGGACACCGTAGGCACTGTATCTGCTTCATCTCATTAAACTGGTTATAGTGTATGGAGTCCCCTGGTGCCATCATTTCTTTCAGCATTAAACAGTTTTTAATGTTTTAATGTTTTAATGCTAAACAAGAGACCCCGGCAGTCCATCTCCTCTGTGCTGCTTTGGCTAATAAGGAAGTATTACCATGAGCAGCAATGGGCAGCAGTGATTTGCTGAGAGTGTCAGCTGACTGCTTTTACCCTGTCAGAGCTCCAACTGACGGTATGGATGGGTATGACAACAAGGAAGTGTGTAATCTCTGCCTTAGCTACACATACAGAAGGGGCCGGACTGTGGGTGGCCAGGGACTCTTATTTTGTGGCATACTGCACAAACATAGTGCAACACTGAATGGAGAGACAATGCCAGGGCACTCCAGGCACTATAACCAATTCAAAGAGACAAAATGGTTATAGTGACTACAGTATCCCTTTAACTGTTAAGTTTTTCATGTTGATACAAAGGTTCTACATCTTAACACATCTTAACTTAATACGTCATTAGTGTATCTTAAAAGTTAATTTTTTTTTAACTTTTCTCACAACAGATTATATTAATTTCCATTTAAACTACTATAATTTGCTACATACAGTATTTGTTAAGGTTTTACCTTAGAGTCGACCACAAGTATACATGTCACCCTAATTTCAGTAATACATTATTGTACAGTGTCTTACCTGCTGGTGGTGATCACACTGGCCACAATCAGATTATCTGTTTTCAAATAGCCAGCACTTTACAGTTCTTTGTATTTGCCCTAGAACCATTTGAGGATGCTCTCAAAAACCAGCCTGTGCTGAACAAAGATGCATCAGTTGACTGTTCCAGTCCTTTGCTGTCCAGAGCTGCTATTTTGACAATAAATGAAGAACTGTCATCAGAGTTGTGGTATGTGGGAGAAATGTGTAGAAAAGAAGCAGAAAAGCTGCTCAAGAAAGATGGAGATTTCCTTGTAAGAAAAAGTGTCAATAATCCTGGTTCGTATGTTTTAACTGGCATGCACCATGGACAAGCCAAGCATCTTCTTCTTGTAGATCCAGAAGGGACAGTAAGTAATTCTCTATGTTTTTATATCTAGTAACATAAGTGCACTCTTCTATTTTATTTTCCTTTGTCACTATGGAAACCATCTCCTCCTTCAAAAAGTCACAATATAGTACAAATATATCATAAAGCATCTTTAGTTAGCTCACAATTATGGATCCATAATAACTTCTTTCATCTATGGAGTAAAGGTATCTATGTGGTATATTTTTCCGTTTGGTTCTGTAGATGGGCTAGCATTGAACCACAACAGTGAAATCAGCAAATTTCCACTTTGTATATAAAAGGAGAAGGGCATATTTTATTTGTTGTTAGATATTGTGCACATTGCCCAACAAACTCTGAGTCACCTGAGTTTTGTTACAAAATTGGATCCCTACATTTTAGTGTGCCTACATAATGCACTGGAGGTATGTAATATTGTGAAGGTGTGGATCAGGTGGATAGCCAAAAAGGGGTCGTTGCTATTGACACAACCTGTATCACTGGTAGCACCCATAATGTATGAATGGGAGTTTCAGCTTTGTGTCAATCACACCAAGCTCAAAGACAGCCTTCAGGCCAGCCCCCAGTATATGGGACAATGTAGACAGTGCTGCTGAAGCGCTCTCTTCATGGTTCTAGTGCCCACTGCACAGTGCGAACATGTGTGATGATGCCATCATGCTGTGTTGTCAGGGGACATTTTCCTGGTGTTTCTGGATGCAGGACAGAAATCTCACCTGTCCTGCCAAAAATGGGACAGTTGAGAACCTTGATATTATCCCAAACAATATATAGTAGTAATAGGCCACTCAATGGTTTACAAACATTATAAAATAATTTAATTATTTGAAATGCTTGGACACGGTACTCAAGTGCTTTCTACAAAGGATACCCAGGACTAAAGTGGGGAAACCATTATTTTCAATAGGAGGCAGCCCTTCTTTTGGCACTATAGGTTTAATAGGTTCCCCCCTCCCTCGTGCCCCACAGTGCTGAACGGATTATAACACCTTTAGCCACTTACCTGAATCCAGCTACAGTGTCCCTTTAAAATCAGTTTCTAGAACCCTTAGCTCTTTTCCCAATTTCTGTAAATATTTATGAATATTATAGTTCACTACATTGCCAGACGCTGTAACATTAAATTTACATATATATTTAACACACAAAAAAATTATTATTTTTTTTTTCCCATAGGTCAGAACAAAAGATCGTGTTTTTGACAGTATTGGTCATCTTATTAACCATCACCTGGAGAACAATTTGCCCATCGTCTCCTCTGGAAGTGAATTGTGTCTCAAGCAATCAGTAGAGAGGACACCTTGATGTTACAAACAAATCTGTCTCTTCAAGAAACCTGTGTAGGAGCCTCACATTTTGAAATGGTGCAATAGAAATTCTAATCACTTTCTCTTGGTTCCAACCAATGTGCTTGCAATGTAATCTAACAGGCACTTCATAAAACATGATTTTTATAAAATTGTTTGATCCCTTAATGTGAATATACAATGTGTATATATACACTATATGTATATATAGATATAAATATATTTATATTTTTGGAGACTGCGGCAAAAGAATAGGACTGATGTCTATTTTAATGACACTGGAACAATACCCGTGGTACTTTATCTAAAACTGAATGCAGCATCCTCACTGAATGAACAATAATAGACAAAATGCTGTAAAACATGAACATGGTTTTATCTAATATAAGCACAATAGGAGGAGCAAAGTTGGAGAGATGTTTAATTCTGCCGAATTATTGTTTGTAGTACTGCAAATTTTTTTTTACAAATTTTGCAGTTCCCTCCAGCATACAAAGGGTTGAGTTATGATTTGGGCAGATGTGAATGTTTAACGTTACAAACACACAGTCCAGAAATGTACTGTTACATGGTCTAATAATAATAATAATAGTATTAAAAAAATCTTATTTTTTTAATCGGCTTTTGAATATCTTTGGAGGCTTTGTGGACAATTCCACTCAAGCTTGTGATATAAATATTCAGTTTTACATTGTGGATTTAAAACTGATCATGCACTGAAAGCACTCATTTAGTGGTGACCTTACAGTATATTCAAAAAGCATTTTATCTTAAAAAGAAATAAAATGATTTATTTTAAAGGATGGCTTGAAACGGTCTGATATCATGTTGTTGATTTTTTAGCTGTACTGTTGTACGTATTTATCAAAGATATATATCGTCTATGTCTCTTATTAAAAAAAAAGGATATTTTTTTCCTTAAAACTTCTTGTAGACATTCCTAAAGATCATCGTATACACGCTTATAGCTGCACATGTTTGAAGTGAACATAGTTCCTGATGATTTTATATTACATTCAGATGTAGCACTGACTGTATGTGACTAGTAGGGCTTTCAAACTGCATTTACGCAATAAAATATGATGAAGTCAGCATCCTTTTGCTTCACAAACTAGTTGTGGGCATAACTGTAAGGAATGCTGTATAATTAGTTGTGACCATTGTGAATAAGGTGCTGGCTAAAGAGCTAGAAGGGAAAACAATATATAAAATTTGAACTTGAATTGGATTGATTGCGCAATAAAGTGTTCTTCTGCATGATGTAATCTAGGAATACAATATAAATTATTATATAAACAGTTGACTTTTATGACAATATGTCAAATGTAGAAAAACAATGACAATTATCTTGAAAGTGCACTGTTTTTATAATTTTTCCTTTATGGACAAGTACTGAGTACCCTCACTATAACTTTTAAATCATAACAACCAAAAGATTTTATTTAAGGGACATGTGGAGGGGAAAGGACAAATTACATAGGGACAAAGGCAAAATGGCACTGAGTTGGGGTGTGCTAAGCAAGATAAGGGGTGCTCCTGTCATATTAGAAAAAAGGAATGGGATAGTGACATCAGTTGCATGGAAGAAGTAGTGGTATGGTGAAGGGTGTGTGATTTGTGGGGGGGTCAGCCAATGGCAAAGGGGTAAAAATACCCTTCCTCATTAAAATATACATTTATCTTCTACATGTAAACACCTCTTAAGTCACAAACACAAAAGTCCTCTATGTGAATACATCTCTTCACCCACATATTGACAATACATTTGACATGGAATAATTTATTTGTAATTAACAGACTGGAGCACTTATGAGAAATTAAAAGAAAAAAAAAGGAAACATTCTTCACTTCATGTCGAACAGGTTGATGTTTGGACAATAAAAAAAACAGAACACGCCATTGAAATTAAAAGTGAATATTAGAGTCTTAGGGCTCCAGTATCCTTTGTGTTAATCAGTCTATTAGTGGCGTACACATGGGGTGGATGCATCTGAAGTTGTTTTTTCACTTAAATTCGAATATATCTGTTAAAATCTGTTCTGAGGAGGGTTTATAGGAAATGTAACCTGTCGTTTGGTATATATACACTCATAAACACTTATTCTCATAACAAAAATATAATTGCAAAAAATGTAATTCGTTATTGGGATATATTAAAGTTTACATCTTGTTTATGAATTACATGGCGGAACCTTTCCTCTCTTTCTGTAGAGAAGCAGTTTCGAATGACTGTCTGTCATACTTAACTGACATCATTATCAAACCTCGATACATACTAAAATCTGTCAATCAGGTTATTTCTCTCTCTGTAATACTGTTATGAGCTGAACATCTTCAGTAGGCTCCATGTTATGCATTGGTTAGAAAATGTCTTCACACTTGTTTTGCTCTCTTTATTAAATTATCTTGTGCAGAAGACTGTTTAGTAAATAGGTTTAAGGAAATAAGGCTTTAAATACTGCTTATTTGTTACTGCCAAGATATTGTGAACTCATACAAGTTAAAGCTTTGTGATTGTGAAAATGGCGGGAATATTGACAGTCTACATTCATTTTGTGGATGCAAAACATATTTAGTGCCTAAAATATTTTAGGAGAGAGGTGTTTCTATGAACATAAACACTAAAGGTTAAATTGTCTGGACTCTGGAGTTTAGAGAGAATTAAAGGTGTGTTTTAGGCTAAAATTGCAAAACTGAAAACATACTGAGACAGATGTTTTTACTTTGACAAATAATCCTGTCTGTGACTATGCAGTTTAAATTGTAAAAGTTTAAAGTGCTTATTGCCTTACGATGATGGGCAATTTTTGAGCGCAAGTAACACATAAGACTCTGGGAGCATCTAATTAATTTATAAAATTCTGCGTAACATAGACAAATGTGTCAATTAGTAACTTTACAGTTGTTATTGGTGTGTAACACATGTATGCAATGGGCCAAAATGCTGCCGTTTTTAAACTTAGCTGCTGTTTTGCAGATTATTTACAACCAGCAAAAGCCAGTTTCAGAAATGCATTGAACAATGAATTTCAGTTGGTTTACATAGATAGGCTGTGCAAAAATTATGCAGTTTCAAAAGTGGGATAAGGGATATTTTCAATCTTTTCTAATAATCCAGAATCAAGTACTTCAATAATTGCCGATTCCAGTATATATTTTTCAATGCTATTACTTATGACTGTGAAATGTAAACAACATTGCAACTGGTTTACCAGAAATCACACAATGGGTTGTGAGACGTGTGCTATTATTTTACAATTAGGCTTCATGTGAAATTTTTATATAACCTTTTGGTAGCAACACAGAAATCAAATTTATGAAAAGTGAAAGAATCAAATTTTTAGAGTTTATAAAATGATGCTGTTTGCTGCCTATCTGTCCAATGACCTTATAAATATGGTTATTTATAAAAAATAAAAAAATTTAAAAAAGGCTGATATTCTTAATGCAAGATGAATCTGCCTGAAACCAAAGTTTAATTAATGTTGCATAAAAATCGTATTGTGGGTATTTTCTTGCATTAGTGTGTCAAAGCTTTGCTATGATAAAATGCTTTTTGAACGTAAGGCAAAAGAAATAGGTATTTGCCAGGTAGACATGTTTTATCCTTACGCCTGTCTGCTTTTTTTCAATGTACTGGGCACTTTTACGAATAAGGGCAATTTTTGGTGTAGCAGGTTTTAATGGCTTTTTATATGAGGCCCTTTTTCTGGTGACTCATAGTTTGCCCCATGACTTGACCTCGTCTTGTAATGCTTTGGCAGAACCTTGACAGATGTAGTAACTGCACTTCTTTTAACCTGTCTGAAGATATTGTGTTCATTTAAACTTTCAAATGAACGTTAAGAAAATGATTTCTACAAATGCACTGCTTTGTAACATTTGGAACATGAATATTACTTAAGCTTAAGCCACTGTACTTTAGATAGGCTGAAAAACCTATTTTTCGGCCGTAGGTAGTTACTTATATATTTATTCCTTGCCTTTGCTACTTTAGAATTGTTAATAAAGTATTCTTTTCAATTATGAGTACAAATGTGAAAATAGTGTCACAGTTATGTTCGAGAATTTCTGTAATGCCAAATGTTTAATTTAAATATTTTTTCTTGTCAGTACTTCTCTTTATTCTCAAAGAAACACTTAGCTCTGCTTTTTATTATTTTTATTTAAACCTTTTTTTTTCTTTACAGTATTTATGAAATCGGAGTGGAATTTATACAGTGTATAAACAAGTTTTTATGTCTCCAGAATGCTTATGGGTAATGAGATATTAAGACTTTGACCTCCCTCAGCACTAGAAGCTTCTCAAATATCACCTGACTTTTATCTCTATAAGCCACAGAGTAGTGCATTAGACCCACAGTCTATTATATATATACACTTGTGTTGCCGTTGTTTCTGTGATATATTTTGATATATTTAAGTACAATCATCAAAGTTCCATCTAATTACAGTTTGTATTTATTTTCCAAATTTTTTCATTCTAAACACTGTGTACCATAATATTTCTGTATATAAAATTGTACCTGTCATGATATATGCAACTTTAGTTAATTGAATAGCATATTACATTTGTGCTAGAGAAATTACTAGGAAATGTACAGATTGATAAAAAACTTAAAAATAGGTTCCTCTTCCATCAATTCTTTGGTACAGATCACGGTGTTGAAGAATTGACTGACAGTGAGAGCTGGAGAACCCTAAATGAAGTGGAACTTCTAGTTGCACCTCTAGTAGCATCTGAGGAGTGGCCACTGGAGGTATCCCTAGGCTTTAATGTAAACACAGCCTTTTCTCTGAAAAGACAGTGTTTATAACAAAAAGCCTGCAGGGACATACTATACTCACCAGAACAACTACATTTAGCTGTAGTTGTTCTGGTGACTATAGTGTCTCTTTAAAGTTAATCATGAGGTTCACCTTTATAAAATATATACTTCTCTATATGGCCATTATCTTTTTGTTGAAACATAGTATATTTGTTGAAACATAGTTCTGTTTTACACAATTTCCATTTTTATGTTAATTACATTGTGAAATTAATTTTGAAAAGGTTTCCAACTAAAAGATTGTTCATTTTATATACATTAAAACTGTTATAAGGTTTAAGTAGTTTTACCCACATTTAATAAAAATGTGCTAATTTACTATGACAGAGACATATATGTTTTATTTAATTTAAATTTATAGTTCTAAAAAAATAATGAATACATAAAATGATGCCAAAGGGACTAGGGTCTTAATATCTTTCAACATAACCTTCGTTCTGGTGCAATAGTGCAATATTGTAAGTGACCCTCCGATTGTAATTTTAAAATAACTGGGTTCCTAAATAATCGTTTTCTGGAAATTATACTAACACTGGTTAGTTATCAGAAAGCTATTTTTTGTTTTGAGTATGCTTTCTGTACCAATTGTATTTCCTGCTTTAATTTGAATTTTAAGATTGACTGTAAGGACATTGTTAAATAATAATCTTTAATAAAATATGTGAATGGCAAATGTCCCATTTGGGATGCAATCTAACGAAATGTATACTTTCTTGTGTCTTCGTGAATGTTGTGGAAATTAGATTCTGAATCCCATTCCATTGAAGGTTTTTTCTTAACATGACAAACTACAAAATGTTTAGACAGACAATCCATGAATGAAAAATGATTGGATGGTAGCAGACATTCATTTATGATCTATATTATTAATACATAGAAACAATGTTGTTTTAGCAAAGTTTTAATATTTTAGCCCTAGGTATAAAATGTTATATACCTCCTCTTTTATCTTTTATAACAAAGGTAAACTCTGGAGTTTATTCACCATGCAGCCAGTTGCGATATATTACCAGGTAGACAAACAGGGCTATTCACTAAACTCTGAATTTTTGCAAATTAAATCTAAATGGAAAAACTGGGGCAAAAATAGTTTTCACTATTGCAAAGCAGGCAGAGTAGTTCAGAGCAGTGGCGTACACACAATCCATGGGGCCCCGGTGCGAAACTGCTCCGTGCCCCCCCCCCTCACCTCCTCTCGCCTCTCTCCTCTGATCCGTGGGTCCCCCCAACACATACACAAACACAAACACACATACAGACACCCCCCGACAGACACATACATACAGACATGCACATACATACACACAGACAGACACACACACATGCAGACACACACACACATACAGACAGACACACATACATACACACATACAGAGACAGACACACACATACACACATACAGAGACACACACACACATACAGAGACACAAACACACACACATACAGAGACACACACACATACAAAGACACATACATACAGAGACACAGACACACACACCTACAGTGACACACACATACAGAAACACAGATACATACAGACATACAGAGACAGACACACACAAAACAGAGACACACACATACATACACAAAATGCTTTTGTTACTTTCCCTGGGGTCCAGTGGGGGCTCAGCCTGATGGGAGTCAGAGTTCCCACTCTGACTCCCTCCTCCTTCCTGCTTCCTCACGCGCGTGCTCTTTGTATTCTGGGAATTGTGACCAGGGAGCCACTTCCTCCCAGCAGTGATGTCATCACAGGGGGCCCGGTCGCGCTGTTAAAGCGCTCAGCGCTGACCGGGCCACCTGACAATGCCCGGTGGGCATTTGTGGCTGTGGCCCTTTAACATTGCAACCGGGCCCCTTGCTTATCAGCAGTAAAACAGGAGGTTAGCGCTGTGAGTCACTTCCATCAACAGAGAACACAGAGGTGCACAGGAGGGAGGAGGAGGCCATCAAGAGTGGGACAGGCAGAGAGTGCATGGGCCACCTGGTGGGCCTTTTTAGTGTGCGGGCCCACTAGTAATCCTAAAAGAAATTGTTGGAAGCAGAGGGCAAAGGGGGCAGCTGTCTTGGGCCCCTCGGCTGCCCAGTTTGCCCCGCATTAAAGACGGTCCTGATAGCACTAGAAAAAGTGCAGAGGCAGGCTACAAAATAAATAAAAGGAATGGTACATTTTAGTTATGAAGAAAGCCTAACAAATGTAAACATCTTTCGTTTAGAAAAATGGTGCCTTCAATACAAATATATCCAAATATACAAATATATCCAGGGCAAACACAAACCATTGTCTGGAAACCTATTCACAAACAGGACTATATATAGGACATGAGGTCACGGATTTAGACTGGAAAAAAGGAGAATTAGTGTAGGGTAAAAGAAATGGTGTGGTGTGTTATAATTACATGTGTGAGAATCACCAATGAGATAATATACATACACTGGTTATCGGTCTCCCAAAATAAACTGGTAGTACTCCAGTTAAGAAATAATATTCCAGCTTTTAATCACTTAAAAACATAAACATGAAACAAAACATAGTGTAAAACTGTTAGATACAATGATAAAATATAAGGTGATTAATGCACTCACAAGTGGTCCGCCACTGTGAATAGGTCAAAAGACATGCCACAAAAGGACTCCAAGATGTTCTGAGTCAGATCCTGAATGCACCAAGGTTCTGAATCCCAAGGGGTAATAAAGGAGTGAGTTCTGGATAAGGATGTCCCAAATAGAGTGAAAGAGAGAATTATGGAGTCTCCATATGTGTCCATACATATGCGTCCATAGGGCAAAGGAAAGTTTTTTTATAGTAAGAACAATAAAGATGTGGAATTCTCTGCCTGAAAAAAAGTGGTTTTATCAGAATCTATACAGATGTTTAAACAGCAACTAGATCAGGGGTACCCAAAAGGTATATCCCTATATGTTGTAGTACTACAACTCCCATGATGCTTTGCATGTTGTCAAATGCTCTAGGATGACAAAGTATCATGTAAGCTTTAGGTTTAAAACATTTGTGATCTATCTTTTGGGCACTCCTGAACTAGATGAATACTTGTAAAAACATCATATTCAAGCATATATTTTTTAAATTGTGGAGTAATTAATCCAAGAATAAATCTGATTGTCGTTCTGGGGTCAAGAAGGAATTTCTCTACCTGCTATGCAAAAACAGGCCTAACCTGTAAAAAATCAACAATTTAAAATTAGGACGACTGGAACCTGAAACAGAGGTCCAGAAATTTTGATAGGGTAATACACAATATAAATTGTGTATAAAATAACTATTTCAATATTACAAAATAAAAATGGGACTATATACAAAGCTATTAAGGTGATTATATCTTATGGTAATAATGTATATGCTTCAATGGATGATAAAAAGAGCAGTAAAAATGGAACCACAACTAAATGCTGTTCTGAGAAAAGGTATGCATAATGCTAATTGGACTCAGTAGCTAGTGGAGTAAAAGAGAAAGCAACTTAAAAATCACAGCTAGGGCTCCGAACCTGCTGTCATCAGTATATGGAAAGTATTGTGTAAGGGAAACTCCGACCTGTGAGATTACCATAGCTAAATATAAAAGGTGAAACTCGCTACAATATCTGAGGTTTTGATCAACAGTATATCAATACAATTGCTCCTTATGTCCTAGAGAAAAAGAGATAACCAAGTTCCTTAGTAGAATGCAAATCTACCCTATCAAAAGGAGGGCTAAATACCTTGGTTCACCACCTAATGGGGTGCACCTACAAATACCCTAGTGGGACACTTAGCTAAAACTTGGCAATAGAACCTACATATATAGACTTCCTATTCTAGGCTGACGTGATATCTCAGTACACCCTTATAGTGTGTATACCTACACTAACTTAGGACAGACAGAGAATAACACAACCTAACCGGAAAATATGACTACATCTGTGCCTAGTACGGTAGAGGATACGCAAAAACGACCTCAGGCACGGGAGACATCATAGAGCTACTCTCAGCCTTTATGAGGGAAAGGAAAAGTTCCATAAGAAGACGAAAACCTAATAGGGAAAAAGGGATATGTACCTCAGCACACCAAAGCTCAGAAGCTTAATTAAATAAGTTACAGTGAATTACGTGCTCTCCTTAATGAGTGCCCATGAAAATCAAAACAAAAAGAAACCCAACATGCTTTTATCTGCTCTATATGGCACTCTTGTCACTTGCCTCTAGTGGTGCACTGAGGTATTTAGCTCCCCTTTTTTTAGGGTAGATATGCACTCTAGCTACGATCCATAATTCCTATTGTGTATAGTCCCTCTTTTTTATTTGTTTTGTAACATCAAAATAAAAGTTATTTTGTACAGATTTTTTTGTTGTGTATTAAAATATTTTTTAATTGCTGATTTAAATAATGCTGCCTATGGTAGTGATATTAGCATGAACATATTATAAAGAGTATTAAAAAGATATTTATTAAAGTACAAATCGTCCTGCAAATGACAGAATGTTAATGCAATTCAAATATAAATTTGGAGCTTAAAAATGTATCCTTTTTAGTTTTACTAAAATAAATGTTGTACATATTTTGCTAAGAAGATGTCCTACTTTGGTTCTGCAATTTTGAGAACTTTCCTAAACTCAAACACAGCAGGGCCACATACAGTTAAGTCCAGAAATATTTGGAAACTGACACAATTTTCATAATTTTGTCTCTGTACTCCACAAAATGCAGATATTCAGCTTTAATTCAAGGGGTTGAACAAAACTGTTTAGGAATATCAACCATTTTCCTTTGCAGTCCCCTTATTTTAGGGGCACAAATGCAATTGGACAAATTAACGCAATCATAAATAAAATGTCATTTTTTTATACTTTTTCGAGAATCCTTTGCAGGCCATGACTGCTTGAAGTCTGCAATGCATTGACATCAACAAACACTGGGTTTCCTCTTTTGTGATACTTTGCCAGGCCTTTACTGAATGTCTTCAGTTGTTGTTTGTTCATGGGTCTTTTTGACTTAAGTTTTGTCTTCAGCAAGTGAAACGCATGCTCGATCGGATTGAGATCAGGTGATTGACTCTGCCGTTGCAGAATATTCCACTTCATTGACTTAAAAACCTCTTGTGTTGCTTTGTTTTTTGTATGTTTTGGGTCATTGTCCATCTGTAAAGTGAAGCGCTCTCCAATCAACTTTGCTAAATTTTGCTGAATCTGATCAGACAATATATCTCTGCACACATCAGAATTCATCCAGCTGCTTCTGTCTCATCAATGAACATTAGTGACCCAGTGCCATTGGAAGCCATGCATGCCCATGCCATCATACTGCCTCCACCGTGTTTTACAGATGCTTCAAATCATGAGCCGTTCCAAGTCATCACCGTAGTTTTTTCTTCCCACCATTGGGTACAAGTTGATCTTAGTTTCATCTGGCTAATGAATGCTGTTCCAGAACTGATCTGGCTTTTTAGATGGTTTTTGGCAAAGTCTAACCTGGGCTTTCTATTCTTGATTCTTAGGAATATTTTGTACCTTGTGGTGAACTCTCTGTATTTACTCTTTTGAAGTCTTCTCTTTATGGTAGACTTGGATAATGATATGCCTACCTCCTGGAGAGTGTTCTTCATTTGGCTGGATGTTGTGAAGGATCCTATGATCATCCACCTATGTTGTTTGCCATGGACATTTAGGCATTTTAGTATTGCAGAGCTCACCAGTGTGTTTTTTTTCTCTCTCATAATGCACCAAACTGTTAATTTGGCCATTACTAATGTTCCTGCTATGGGTCTGATGTTTTTTTTTTTTATCTGCTGCCTAAGGATGGCCTGTTTCACGTGAATTGAGAGATCCTTTGACCGCGTGATGTGGGTTCACAGCAACAGCTTCCAAATAACAATGCCACACCTGGAATCAACTCCAGACCTTTTACTTGCTTAATTAATGAAGAAATAAAGAAGGAATACCCCATAATTGTCCAATTATTTTTGGTCTCTTGAAAAAGAGAGGGCTGCATATTAAAGAGCTGTAATTCCTAAACCCTTCCTCCAATTTGGATGTGAATACCCACAAATTAAAGCTGAACTGAGCACTTTAAGCCTATATTTATAATCTAACTGTAACTTAAATTTCTTTTGGTAAACAGCCAAAATAACAAAACTTGTGTCAGTGTCCATATATTTCCAGACCTAACTGTAGCGCAATATGCTCTCTCAAGCCCTAAGTCTTCTTAACTCTAAGTCACCCTAATCGTATGCTGTGGGGCACATAGGGAAAAAAACTTTCCCTGTGTCATCAGATTGCTAAGTACAACAGTATACTCTGCACTGCAATTCCGCTTGTCATTATGAACTGGGAAATAATGGAGACACACTATTTTCAAGTTGCCATTTTAACATTTTATTGTAAAATCAAAGTCTGAAACCTGTAATGCACATGTCAAAAATACTGCCCTTGTACAAATGGTAAGTAGCTGAACAAACTAAGGTGTATATACAGGACATTAATACCACTACAGTTACTTATTCAAATGTCAATCAACTGTTAAAGTTGAAAATGGCAAAGAAGAGGTGCACTGAAATGGACCAAGGTAAGGATTAACACATCTTAAATCTCCATCAAACACTGGACATTAACAGTCTAATGTGTTTCATAATGTACATAGATGTAATCATAGTCTTGTGGTGTGAATTTGGTTTCATAAGTTTTGTTCCAGGTGGATAATAAAAGGAAACCAGACCAAGTATAGCAAACAAATGTTAACCCTTTATGAGCTGATCTGTTTAATTATATGACTCATTCAAATTAAAACCATAAATCAGTATGGAAAGGTAAGTTCTGAGCACTGAGGAAAGACTTATATACCTACTAAATATGCAGAAATGCCGCTAATATTTAATGGTTGGAATTGTCCACATAAGGATGGTCTGATATACGATGTATGGAAAATCCCACACTTACATAATAAATAAAGTAGATATGAAAATGAGCTAATCCCAGCTAGATAAGTCCAGAACAAGTCTTGCCACATCGCCATCTTCATAACCTGGAGTTTCTAGTTATCCAAATGGAGTGTGCATTGTTAGCGCAACTGCTAAGAAATATTAGAACTGCAGAAATGTATTATTACACAATTTTGGATATTTTCCTACACTAGTTCATACCTTGTGCACAAAATCCACAGCTAAAAGGCCATATTTGTGTGAATAATGGTGCTAAATTTATCAGTTGAAAAGAGTAAAAAAAAAAAAAATTTGAGTGTACTTTTGAAAACTGTGCAGTTTTATAGGGGTTACTTTAATTAGGGGGATGCTAACCGTTCCTTAAAGAGACAGGCATCAGCGAAACAATCTGTCTAACTTTTATTTAGAGAACAAAATGGCGATCCGACTCAGTTTGGCACTATAATAAAAATGTAAATAGCACATTTTTCCAGCATACTTGGTAGAAACTGTACGCCGAAAGAAAAGGGTCAAAATAGTTCATTACTGACCTGCTACTCAACAGATTAAACCAGAGTTATAGTTAAATTAAACAAAATAGAATTATATAAGAAAATTAAAAAAGGTACATAAGTACTTAGAGGAGTTTTAAATTGAAAGTAAGCATAAACAATTTTCAGGATATGAATTTTATTTATGATACAAAAAATAAAAATAAAAAAAATATTAGAGAACATTCTTTAAAATATAAAGTGTTACATTAAGAAAACAATTTATATGAGAGAAAACTACAATTTAACATATATATGTATATACACAAAACATACATATATCTATATAAATAACAAAAATATTGCCAGTATATCACATAAGCTACTTTCTAAGTTTTGAGTATCAATTTTTACTATGGCATTCACATGTTTCAATCTAGCTGTGAAAAAGTGTGTAATGATGAAATAAAACATAAAACGCATAAACAGTAAAGTATTTTAGAAAATAAGCATGTTGTATTAAGCACTTTTATAAGAGGACGCTATGAAACAGCTGAAGATTATGAAACCACAAATTACATATATTAATAAAAAATAAAATAAATGATTAATTAAGGTATAATTAGAAAATATGCCATGAGTGTTGTTTAATGTAAAATATTTAAAGGGACACTATAGTCACCTGAACAACTTTAGCTTAATGAAGCAGTTTTGGTGTATAGAACATGCCCCTGCAGCCTCACTGCTCAATCCTCTGCCATTTATGAGTTAAATCCCTTTGTTTATGATCCCTAGTCACACCTCCCTGCATGTGACTTGCACAGCCTTCCATAAACACTTCCTGTAACAAGAGCCCTATTTAGGCTTTCTTTATTGCAAGTTCTGTTTAATTAAGATTTTCTTGTCCCCTGCTATGTTAATAGCTTGCTAGACCCTGCAAGAGCCTCCTGTATGTGATTAAAGTTCAATTTAGAGATTGAGATACAATTATTTAAGGTAAATTACATCTGTTTGAAAGTGAAACCAATTTATTTTTCATGCAGGCTCTGTCAACCATAGCCAGGGGAGGTGTGGCTAGGGCTGCATAAACAGAAACAAAGTGATTTAACTTCTAAATGACAGTGAATTGAGCAGTAAAATTGCAGGGGAATGATCTATACACTAAAACTGCTTTATTTAGCTAAAGTAATTTAGGTGACTATAGTGTTCCTTTAAATATCAGTATTCTTAAATTGTTAATAGACAAAACAGTTTGTTTTGCCCACAATTAACTATCAATATTGTTATGAACTGTAAATTAATATGCTTTAAGTATACAAATAAAATTAGAAAGCTAGGGAATATTTGAATTTTGGAGGTGCACATATAAAGTTTAAAATTAAACAAATTGAAATCAACATCTAAATGGGATTATTTAAATAATACACGTCTAGATAATACTGGAAATTTCAAATTTGATCTCACCAGATGACAAATACATTTTTTGCTAATATTTATTAACAATCATTGTAGCTTACGGTACTCCCAACCATATTTTATCTATCTTTATAGTTAAGCAAATATGTCTTGAAATACATCTCAGAAATACATAGTTGGTTGTATTTCTGAAATGTATAGTAAACAGGGAATTGTAAAGACTTTGTGTGATTTGGAAATTTGTGGTAAAAATTATCATTCTTTTCAATATTGTCTCTGTTGGCCAACATTTACATTAAACCTTGTCAATTCCCTTGTCAGTTTACTGAATCAACGACATATGTGCTTGTTAGGTAGTATGTAACATAATAATACAAAATCCAATCAAAATGTAACAGATCAGGAAACAAATATGTATTGTGAAATAAGGCAATGAGTCACAATTTAGTCATCAAGGCACTCCAATAGTCCAGATTTTGTCAGTATGACATTAGAATAGATTTGGGAATTGTATATAAATTGTTGTGTCTTGAGGACTGGGCATTAGTAAACACTGATCTACCATATAGTCCCAATAGCATTATTTTTAATTTGATATTTACTTACTTATAAAGTATTTCTTATTGGGATAAATTTCATAGAATATTATGCTAACAGAAATGTTACATATGTAGTATCGTAGGCCTTATATCTGATTTCAGTTCATAATGCCTCATAGATGCACAAATCTGACACCTGAAAATGAAACATATTTTTAAATACAACAATTGTAGCTATAAGCTTGATTTTCCAATGTGGAAAAAAGAATACACATGACATCACTCAAAACCGAGGTTTTTCTTTTGTGATAGCAATGGAGAATGGGAAATTAGCTCACTAGAATTTCTGCAGATTATTAGTAAATAGAGTATATGTTTAATACTACCTTGCCAGATGGAAAGGGGAGTTAGTATTATTTATTCCTGCAAAACTAAAGAAGTGTGTATTCCTTGAACTAGAAGGGGATTATAAAAGAACTATTAGCCAAAATAGCTGAATAGGCATCTTGGTTATTTTGTCTAAATGTTGTAATTCCTTTGTCAATACTTCAAACTTTCCAATTTAGTAACTATGCCTCTTTCATTAAATACTGTCCATTTTCCTGAGCTGGAGTTTCAGGGGTTAGAATTTCTATTTGAATCAAAGGATAGGTCTAATTCATGAGCGTGCCATCACTGCACATAATTCTGCAGTTAAAATTCAAAACCATCCATCTAGCAAATAATTATGGGGTATACAGTAACAAGCTTTATATACCCACAGTTTTAAGGAGCAGATCCTCATAATACTCAGAAAATACTAAACTTTTTTTGTATGTACTTCTAAAATTTTTTATTTAATTTGAAAGATATGAAAATCTATTGTAACAAGGTTTATAGTATAGTATGTTCTGAATCATGGTACTTCCCATGTTTTTTTTTTTCAGAAACATGCATTAAATATGCAAATACAATTTATCGTGCTATTGACTCAACAATTATAATTTAAGTGCCAAAAAGTTTGTAACAGTTTTAATAGTTCCTCGCTCTTAAAAATCCATTTAAAAGAGGAGTCCATTGAAGGTTCAATGTCATTTGCTGCAGGTTCCATTTTGTAATGAGGTTTCACTTTTATCTTCTTTACTATGAAAATTATTTTGTATCAAACCTTTGTGCTTTGGTGAATTGCTGTTGCTACTTGACTTACTTCTGCTGTGATCTAGTGTTGGCTGTATTGGTAGAGACCTTGATTTCTTAGTCTTGGCGAAGCAGACACAAACAAGACGGAAGAAAGCTCGGCGCATCTCCTTGCTTGCCAAAGTGTAGATGATAGGATTCATTGCAGAATTAAGAACAGCAAGGGCAATGAACCACTTTACCTTGTACAGAACCGTACAAATGTTAGCCTCACAGGCAACGTCGATCAAGAAAAGAATAAAGATGGGAGACCAGCAGGCTATAAAAACACCAACCACAATGACAACAGTCCTTAATAGTGCCATGGACCTCTCTGAAGTACTATGGTTAGTGACTCTGCGGCTGCTAGATTTTACCAGAATATAGATGCGGGCATAGAGAATGACTATTGCGAACAGAATCACTATGAAGATGCTGATACAAAATCCAACATATTGCCTGGAGTATAAAGGCAATATGGTAGAGCAATCCTTGAGGTTTCCAATGCAGTTCCAACCAAGGATTGGCAGGGCACCAAGTGAAAAGGCGATAAGCCAACATGTTCCTATCAGCAAAAATACTCTATGTTTTTTGTTGGCATCATAAGGCCTCATTTTGATCATTGTCAAGTGCCTTTCAATAGCAATGGCCAAAAGGCTAAATGTAGATGCTCCAAGTGCAATGAACATGCTACCCTCTCTGACAAACCAGGCGGTCAATGAGATGTTGCAGGTATAGCTTCCAGACATGAGAATGTTTGCAATGTATGCCACGCCAGCTAATAAGTCACATAGTGCAAGGTTGCCTATAAAAAAGTACATCCTGTTGTGGAACCTGTTGTTTTTCCATATAGCAATCAGTACCATCAAGTTCTCAAGTATGATAAAACTGCAAATGATAAGAAACAGCATGGTGGTTGTGTCCATTTGATCATCTTTTTTCTGGTATTTTCCTGTATAATTGTAGTGAAGCTCTATAATGTGGTCGCATTTCCTGTGTACTTGTAAGTTCACTTTTGTAGAAAATGTGTTTGCAGTCATGTTTACGAGTAGACAAGACAGTTCCTCTTTCGTGGTGAAGTTTAAGCTGAATACACTAGAGGGCACCCTATCCACATTCTCTGTAACTTCTTTTTCATTTGGCTTTTGAGGTGAGGTTCATGCCGAATTGCGACCTGCATCTCTTTTCTTTCACACAAGAAAAAGAAAATCTGCAAAACAAAAGCAGAAGGTAAATGTAGACACAGACTCCAAAACACAGAAACAGTTACTCGAATGCAAGATATGAATCCATTGTGTTGCTGGACTATCCAGAAGCTTGAAACTGATTTTTTTTAAAGAAGCAAAAACAGTGAAATATCCCAATATGTGTTTATTAAATAGAAATAGTAAAATAATAATAATCGCATACTAGTTCTGAACACCCCAATATATTTTGCTTTTTCTCTACTTTGGACCTTAATTATTAAAATAAATTAAAAACATCTTTAAGGGTCATGTACAAATATTTAAAGAGCTCCATAACCATATGTATAGAGACTGCTGATGTAAATCATAACTAGCGTATTGTTTAGTATAATAATAATTACCTTATTCAATATTCCAGTAGCTCATTATCTACAAAATATTTGATATATTATGCACAGAATTTCCAATATTAAAAACTGAAAATATCGACCAATATCCAGTCCCAACACATTCCAAGGGAAGCAGCTACATTTAAGAGTTGCAATTTATAATCGTACAAAGCAAATTGTGCTGATGGAAAAATGAATTGCTAAAGAAACCATTGTTCTTCCAACCCTTCGATTTTGAAAGCAATCCCCTGACTAAACTACAGCTTGCTATTCTGTTAATAAACCTTACCTACATATATAAGATCAACATTGTATATAAGGTATATAACGTATACATTGCTACACTTGACCGCTAGACAAAAAAGATCCGAAGTGGGGTCAATCTTAACTCGAATATTGGGTTTTGACTATATTTTTAGTGAATTATTTTTAAAGAGGAACTGTCACTTCCCCAATCATAGTAGAACATAATGGCTAACTAAAGTTGGTTATTTAACATTCTTACAGAAAATACAATTTTGTTCTGATAGTCCCATAGTTATCCATGCTAGTCTGTCTATAAAAAATATTTGGCAAAACAATTTGAAAAAGTTACCAATAAAAGGAAAAGAGAAGAAGTAGTAAAAAGAAAATACATTGATATTTATATATTTTTATTAAACACTTTTTACTGCTCCTCTGTAGGTCACGTCCTACTTGATCTGTGAATAAAACCAACATTTAGTGCCTGGCTCCTAACCAATCATCTTTCTTTCCTATAAATCATCGCTTTTTTGACGCCATGAACAGAACCTTAAATTAAAAATCAAGCAAAAATGTTCCTCCACCACACTAGGTATTTGTTTGGTTATACATCAATATGGCACATTGGAACGTGTAATATTCGGACGACACCCCAATCGGCCTATATTTAAACAAATTACAATTTTGCTGAAAACTTATATATAAGTCTCTAATGCACAGTACTGGGGAAATGTTTACTGTGCGTTCGCGTATAAGATATCTCTGACAAGGTTGAGGGAATAAGGGAAATGCATAGGAGATTAGTTTCTCATTTACCTCTGCTGCTTTGCTCACTCGAATAAACCCTGAAATAGCGTTTACTGGGTTGGAGGGATAAAGAACTGTCACTTCTATTGGGAGTGACAGTTATCCATTAAATTTAACTTTGAAAAAAATCGGTGATTACTTAATTCATTGGTATTTTAATACATGCAAAAAATGTTTCTGCTTTGGATCACCACTGCGACCTAGCAGTCAGTGTCTAATGTTATGTGTTTCCAAAGCAAACATTGTAATGAAGCTCTGGGAAGCATTATACCAGTGATGGCTAAACTTGGCACTGGAGATGTTTGCTAACCATTGTCACATGACGTTTACAGGCCTAGATCTGGATATCATGAGAAAGTAGGTCCAACATAGACGGTAGATTTTGGGAGCAATGAAACTCTACAAAAGAGGACGCTAAAATGCACTAACTAGTTGAAAGCAGTTTATTTCTAGATTGAAACTATGATACATAAGATGAAAACATTCAAAATCCTGGTGTGATCATCTATACAGTTTCTCTGTAAACCACAATGCATATATAAAGAGATTAAGGTTATTCCATATTGTCGAAAGCAGCTGTTAAATGAAAATTTACTCAAATGTTGGAGAAAATCAAAACAGTCTTGTATTAGTAAGTAATGTTTACTTATATCTAATGAATATATTTATGCAAAATGTCACTTTGTCTGAAAGCTATTTTTTTGGTAGAAATGTATCCGCTTTCTTGCCACCGTGCATATAGAATACACACACCAATATTATATATATGACTGTTCTTAATTCTAGACCTTAAATGCAGAACTAGTTTATTGAACACAGTCTTCCGGAAAACAACAATGTTCTATGACTGTTTTATTACGCATGCTATTGATGGATTGGAATTCTTAACAAATAGTTTGGTAATTGCAGTCATATGAACGTGGAAACTGTGTATTTTTAACTACACGTAGCATATCAACATTAAACTAGAACGATTTTCCAAAGTAATACCAAATGTGCAGATTTCTGTAGGATGTTAATGGCCCCTTTCCTCAGGGTAATGTGTTTATTGATACAGAACCTTAACGTGACCTACAGATTCCTATAGCCCTGTGAATTTTCTCAAGCAACCTATCTTGTTTCATCTTAAATTCCCCTGGTGAATTTTCCGTCACCATTTCCTCTAAAAGCAAATTCCAGTCTGACCACACTTTCAGTAATGACCGCAATTTAATGCTCTCTTTAATTAAAACTTTGCACTCCTGTGTAAGGCAATGTCCATGTAATACTCTTGGTGTGTGTTTGTGTGCGTGCGTGTATGTGTGTGTATGATTGTGTGTATGTATATATATATATTCCTGATCCTAATGAAATTCCTGGATGGGGCCTGAAAAGTTGATCTACATTTTACATACACACACACATTGCCCATACATGCATTATATAATTGGGCTTTTATTTTTCTAGAAATGATGTGTAGCTTGACAATACGGGTTTGGTAACAGATGTCTCTTCCTTGACTAATGTAGTTATGATTGGGAATCGAGGCAAACCAATTGTCCCAAATCTGACAGGATCTTGTCCTGCTCTCCCACGCATGTTCCCTAGTATTCTGCTTTTCAAGACACAAGGGAACTTTCCCCTAAAATGTAGTGTGAGTATATCATTAGACATGTCTGCACTACAGTACGGGCACTAGAATGTTGTGCTGTAACAGTGTTCTTATGGAGGTCATACTGGCATGTATTCATGCCTAGCTAACATGCCTCTTATTCAGGCAGACCCGAATCCTTCTCTTTCAGCCGTGCTGACTCACCCCTTCTATTTTCACCCATCTATGTCCTGCTTTACATGCTTCACTATGTTGGTATAGGAATGAAAGGAGTTGGTCGGAATCTTTGAACAAGCAGGAGTTCTGCTTAACTAGGTACTTGTATTGACCAGTTGAAAAACAACTGTTAACCTATCCAATTATTTGGAGGCACTTCAAGTCATTTTAAGTGAGGCACTTCAAGTAATTCTACAGTTAGTAGAATTCATATGCTGTAGAAGGAAGATCTTTTTGTTGATCCATACAATTTATTTTTGACCCCTCCTATAGCACTGCAGCAAACGACTTTTCTGCAGTATAAGTAGTCACAGCACGGATAATTGATATGTACCTAGGAAAACTTAGTGGATCTGGAAATCCAGTCGTTACAGGTACAATACCCAGGCCACAGTGTATCGTATTGCGCATTTCAATGTTGCTTCATACAGATCCAGGCATAGTAAACATGGGAAAATAAATTGGGTGTTTTTACTGCTCTCACTGCACCTTGCCCAAACGTTTTTTAATGAACATCTGCCTCCTTCAATAATCTTCTTTATAATCATTAATTCCACTCCATTGTTTTGGTGATTTTGAGTTTGCTATGCTTGTGTGGAAGTGTTTTGTCAAATTCACTTGTGCTCACTTATCCTTTGTCTCCATAATGGCTAATTCAGATAGCTGAAAAGGTGCCAAGATAATAAAAAGTTGCCTATGCTTTTACATTTGGGTCAGTTTGTGTGCATACAAGTGATACTCCATCCTATATATATATATTAGTGCCTCTTATTCTACCTTTTCTGTAGTAAAGCACTCTTTATTCCTTTATTCCATAGAATGCATTCTTAAAATAAGATGAATCAGAAATATTAAAACTGATTAAAAAAACAAAAAAAACAAAAAACAATTAGACACAAAGGAGAAGTTGCATACTTGTCTTAGAAAACCACCACTGTTTTTCTGAAAGTAAAGGCACACATTTGTGGCTCTTTTTTATATATTGTAAGTGACTTTTTAGGTGGAACATTAAAAAGGAAGCAAAATGGAATGGGAAAACAATCTCAGAAGACGGAAACCAGCCTAAAAATATAGCACCATGCGTTTTATACATAACCTCCAATGATCTGAAGCAGTTTAAACAATAGAAAGAAAATACTAAAACGTATACTACCAATACACCTATAAGGGGTTATTTTGAAAAATGGTGGAGTGTGTTTTAGAAATAATTACATTTTTTGTCCATGAGAATGTAGAAAACACAACCTCTATGCTTTATATGTTTTCGAGATAATCTTTGTTAAAATAAAATAACATTGCAAAACCAATGTAGAATCACTAAGTATTATACTTAATGTTAATGAATTATTAATAACAAAATAAACAGCAAAGGGAAAAAAAAATATATGCATCTGGAAAGTTACAAAATAAGATGGAACAAGGAAAAACAAGATATTTCATTATAGGTTATGACAGTGCTGGTAACTTTTCTCAGAAATAAAAATGGCACTTTGTCAAGTGGTAAGCATAATAATATACACTTATAATGTAACCTCCACTGCCACGTGGCTTGTGAAAAAAACACCACCAGGAGTATTTTGGGTGTCCTGGAAAGGAATGTTTAAGTGGGTTTTTCAATACAGTATGCATTGATAGCACATCGTTTAACGTAAACAAAAACAAATAATTTAGCTAGACAGAACTCAAAACAAAAACATACACAGAAGCACACTGAAAAACATCATGACACACACACATTGACAGCTATAAACACAAAGTCACATTGCATGTCTGGCTGTATGTATTGCTTACCTAGTGTGTCTGAGTGAGTCTGTCAGTGTTTATCAATACGTCTGTGTGTGTCTGTGTAAATCTTTTATCTGTGAGCATGCGTATCACTGTGTCTTGGAGCATATGTATGGGAGGCTGGTTGTGGGCTTGATATGCATTTTATGTTTATGGTGAGGAGTTACTTTTTATGTAGGAGGCTTATTGTGTGTGTCTAAAGTTAACTGTCTGCTGGGGATGACTGTTTATAAGTGTCACTGTGTGTATTTGAGGGTGTCTGTGGGAGAGATGACTGTGACAGGGTGACCATCACAGAATTAGTGTGACAGGGTGAGCATGGCACAGAGACTGGTGTAACTGTGTGTGAGGAGGCTGTGTATCTGTGTCCAGCCTTCCCACAATTTTACTTTACTGTTGTCCCCCTCCTGCTTACCTATTGGGATTAGATGAGGCAATTGGACCCTGTGGATAAAATGGACTGTCAGTACAAGTCTGAACCTCTGGCTGGGTGCAGATCCCTATCTATGCTCAGTTAGAGCAGTTCTGGACAGGGCAAGCTATAGATCCCACAGCCTGTACAGCTGTTAGGGATCACAGCAGAGCTGTCGCTAACATGGTCGTGCTGGCCCTGCTATATGGAAAGCAATTGCACACAATAAACAAATTACAATTTCAATAGTTAACATTATGTATACAAGATTCTTGGACATGAGAACATACCATAAAAATCATTTATACATGATTTGTGTAGTGAAGGGGTTAAAGGGTTAGCACTAGGGTGACTTAGGATTAGGATACTTAGAGTTTTACTTGCAATTCTCATGGTCTGTATCAGGGCAATTGGAACTAGCAAATTAAGTTAATTAGGTTGTATGTGGAGAGCCGACTCCCCCATATTTTACAGAGATTCAGCTGTTTTCAAAAACACTACCAAACTGCACCTATATACATATAGGTATATACAAGTATACAAAATTAAGACGTGTGCTCAAACTCCCACTACTCCTGGGTGGCAGCAATTACTATAGTACACATCAACTCCAATACATAGAATAACAATAAAATTAATACTTGTATACTATGCGAATTCCTATGGACATTTAACTAACTGACAGGGTTTTAGTAGCGCTCCAATGGCCATTAAAGTTTAAGCTCACCTGCCACGTCAAGGCAAAACCTTTTAGGTGAGTTTTTATGTATTGTATTTTCTTTTGAATCACACAGCCATGCTACAATGCTGCTGCCCAGCCCATGTGTTCCTTATTAAAGGTAAATAAGTATGTAGGGGTTTACAAAAATACCCCTCTCTGCCTCATAAGTGATTTAGCATTTTAGCTGAAAGCAACAAGGTGAATTGTTAGCGTAGAACTCACTAAGATGTTTTGCCTTAACGTGACAGGTGAGCTCTTACACTTAAATGGCCATTGGAATGAAACAAAAAAAAATTCCAGTTATCTAAAAAGATTCTGTAGTGCCAGGAATACAAAGCTGTATTCCTGGCACTACCGCATTGCAGCACTAAGCGCAAAAGGTACAGTGCACCCACACCATTTCAATAAGCTGAAGGGATCTGGGTTCCTACAGTGTCCCTTTAAATGTGTATAGCGATTTGGGATAGCACACATGATTTAATGCTATATATGTAAATGTGGTAGAAATAACAGGATTTGTGCTTTGTGAATAGATGCATGGGTTAAAACAGTACAAATGTGACAAGCTTGACTGCTGTTTGGTTAGCATTTAGTAAACTGATCCCCCCAGATTTTAATTTAAACACAGTTCAGCTGATGTCACCTAGCTCAGATCAAGTTAAAGCAAAGCCGTTTTCTGTTTAGACAACCTGGTTTTACCGCAGGTAGGCTGCAGGCCAGTGATTGTACTTGGTGTTATTGATGTTTTGAACCTACATTATTGCATTCTTTTGGCAATTCATAATTCCCACGAATAGAATAAAATGAGAAAATGTATTGAAAACTGAACCATGAAAAGGGTCAGTTCTATTCATCAAGTGAACTAAAACAATTTTTAAGATTTTAGCTAAACATTTATACTTAGAAACACAAGTTTCAAAATAAAAAAAAACAAAAAACTACTCTCCCTTGTGGGGTCCTTTCTTGCCTCTTCTGTCTATCTTGTTGACCCATAACATATGTTCCCTTTTCCTTCTTATGGGCAACTTACCCTCTGTAGTTTTACGTGCCTTCTATACCTATGTTACAGACATGCTTGCCTGTTTGTTTTTTCTATGCATCATGTAGCTATCTTTTTTCAGTTTAACTCAGCATGCCAATTTATGTGTAATTTCATCTTATGTCTTATGTGCCCCACCTCCTCATCCCTGCCCATTGCTTTGCATTGCTATGTGCATAACATTTGCCATTATGTTTCGTCTGTAGCTCTCATTTCATATCCCTTAGTGGGAGGCCGATTTATATTCCTCTAAGCAAAAGTATTGTTAATAGAAGTGGTGGGTGTCCTTTTAAACAGACTTATGTAAACAGCCCATCACCTGGACTAACTGGTGCATTGCAAACATGGAGGCCTACAAAATGGCCAACATGGTTTGTTTACATAAACTTTGAACTTAATGCTCAGTTCTGTTTTGTTAGACTGCTTTGAGTTGGAGCCTGGGTAAATTGAAGAAGGCAAACAGATACTCATAGTTCTATACTAAACTGGGAATTGAATAGGGAGCTGCAAATTATAGACCATAATTGGAAACATTCTCTAAACCCTTTTGTTTTTCTTACTTAGCTATTTTGGCCTACAACTCGCAGCTGTCTAGTAGTTTCTTAACAATCCGTGATTTAGTGAATAACACCCACTGAAAAGTGATCTAAAGTGAGGTCACCGAACAAAGAGATAATTTATATGTTACTCAATTTATAGCTATGCATCCATGTTAAGGTGACAGCTGTTCTTGCAATTGAGAGCAGGGTAGATATGAATTTAGGTTAAACATGTAACCCTTTGAGATTCTTTGAGCTCTTAGTATTTTGACTCTAAATACAGAACCATAAAACTTGCACAATGAGTGTGTATCACAATAGCTGAAGGATTACAGAGTCTGTGCTTAAAGACAAACATTCGGTAATGTAAATAATACTCTCTTGCAGACAAGCCTAACCTTATAAAAATGTCAATCTGCTGGTTTTAAAGGATCTTTTTCAGACACAATTTTCTTAATGTAACATAATCACACTATGTTCTCTCAGGCAAAAATATTATGTTGTCTTATTTCCCAAGAATCTATAAGTAGATTTTTGTTCCATGTGACTATATTTATAAACATTCTGAAAGGTCCGATCTGTATCAGAAAAAGCTGAAGGGGAATTTTAAGTTCCATGATGTGACAATAGCATTCTTTAAGACTTCAGTTCCCCATTAATCGCCATAGCCACCATATTTTCCTGGACACATCATTCTTTTAATGTGTATGGACAATACATAAAAAGTGCTGCCATTAAGTGAATAACATTTACATTTATAATCAAAGTGAATTGTCTTTAATATTTTCATGGGCTGCCCATCAGCATGTGGAACTGATATTTATCCAAGTAGATAACGCAATCGTAGTACCACTTATACACTATCTGCACAAACAGTTTTATATTGATAAAATGAAGACATTCTAATGTGTAATTGCCTGCTTATGTCTGCCATTGAGTTATCTAATTTAAAAAAAATGATGAATTGATTAGATTTAATAAACTCCAAATTTGAGCAAATTGAAAACTGAGATGCAAAGGGTAAGGAAACAGTAGCCAAGTGTGACCACAGCAGAGTGGAAATTTTCTAAAGCAGCTATGTTTGCCTACATTTTGCAATTACGAATTTAATTTGTTATAATTTGGGGTTAGATAACTATAAACTCTTTCATTTCAATATTCTACGGGTGTAATGGAGATTTTGTACATCTCAGATACAGAAATAATTATCACTAAGGTGATCTACTAAATTCCAGCAAAGTTAACAACTTCTAAACTTAAATTATGTTGCTATGCCAAATCCTCTGTATGGTTCATCTCCTAAAGTTCAATGCAGCTCCCACAGAAATCAGCATGGGCTCAATGCTGGCTGCTTTGGTACAAAGTGGATTTGTTCACAGCTGAGACCAACCCAAGTGTACTCAAGCGGAATAGTTTAAGATTCTGATTTTAAGTGCTTACTGCATTCTGAGCTACTAAATATGCAACGACTGCAGCATCTTAAGTTGTTTTATGTATCCACTTGTTTTCATTTAGAAAATATTAGATAACTGACCACTGCTAAAGTTTTATTGAAGCTAGGAGAGCAGATGTCGGGCTGCATGAACCTAGTATAGTATTTGTTTTGCAAATTCCTATTGGCTCTGTTAAATTAAACTTTTTTTAAATTGCACATAATTATTTGATATTTTAAATACTGTTTTAAAGGCACAGCTCACCTTTATTTATTATATTATATTGTTTTATGAGCTATTGCACTTCATAGTTGTTGCTTTTTCCACAAAATGTTGCACATATTTTAGAATCATAACTTATTCACTAGATATTTGTTTGCATCTTTTTAACTTTTTTTTCTTGTGTATATGTAAACCTCATATATGTTACCTCTTCACAGGAAATGAATGATCATCTGTATTAACCCTTTGCATTCAGCTACTGATGAAAGAAATAAAACAAAAAAATATATAAGAAAACTGTAAATGTGACTTAAACTTGCTAAATGTCAAAGCCTACAGAATAATGTATCCCTTTGGGAACACTGGGTGTGCAAGGCAAGACAACATTGCTAACAACATGGAAACATAAAGGGTTAAACATAACTGATGTCAACTGTTTGTACCTTATAATTTCAATCCATTCTGAGGGAACAACTACATGCTTTCCTCAGACCACGATACCAGCCTTTAATTTACACTGGCAGACACTCTATGTGCATTGGGGTATTTTGTTCTCATTAACTCTTGTCTGACCAGCCGGTTAGGAACTATTGGGCATCGTCTGAGATCTGCCACCCCTAAACAAATGAGCTCCTTTTACACATAGACTCTGTGACCCTGCCAGTCACTAATGGAATGCTACACTATCCGTACCAAATCATTATAATGCAAAGGTCACCTAACCCATGTACGTTACAAAAACTCTGCCATTTAGCTGGAACTGCATCTGACCCGCTCCAACTACTTTATTCAGATATGGTTCAATTCCAGAAACGTTAGGTTCACCATAAGCCAAACGGTCCTCAATAGTAAGTGCATTCAAACCATAGTCCTGATTTCAAAGTTTGTTGTTTAAACACATTGCCTTGCATTGTCAATACCTTGATACATTTAATGATATAGAACCTTTCTAAAAACGCTAGACACGTCGATCGTGAACCCTCCTGGAATCTTCATTGCCTCCTCTGCACTGCTCCTGCTAATATTCTCCATCCCCTGTAACTGGGGACACCTACATGGTCACCCTAAACTAGCGATTGAGGAATATTATATATACCATTCGCGATCACTTACCTAAAGTAAGGGAGAGATTCAGACCCTACTGATGTTAGCTCCCAGATGGCAATGAATAGTCCCAGCAGTTGACCAGTCTGTATTGTTATTGGTGCATAGAAATAGCATGTCCCGGGGTTATCATTGAACTCAGTGCTTAAAAGATCCGTCTCTTCTTTTACAAAGAAACTCTCTCCAACATTCAGCATGAGCGGCAGATCAGCTCCACCTCACTTGCTATTCTACTGCGGGACCTGAATGGAAAAAAGGACAGCCCCTAGTTCTGACTTGCATGAGTGCACTCCCCTCTCCTCTATAGTTCTTTGTGCCTTGCTATTGCTGTAGTACTTACCCCGGAGATTTCAAGGTTAAACTCTCTAAATGCAATGTGATCTGCTGTGCACCTCCAAATAATTAAATGGCTGGGAATATATATATATATATATATATATATATATATATATATATATATATATATATATATATATATATATATATATATATATATATATATAAAAATATATTAAAAAAACCCAAAAAAACTGGATGTCATCAGTGGTAGGCTATAGTTTTTGGAATTATCCTTCTAGCCCATTGAAACACACTAAGTAGCAAGATCTCAAGATAATATAGTTTAATCACCAAGTAATTGAAAATCGATAGGTACACTGCCAACTTTGCAACACTGGAACATTGCTGATGCTAATAGACTTGTTTTTATTTTGTTTATGTATTGAGAAAATGCTTTTTTTTTTTTTTTTTTTTTAATAGGTCAAGTACGTGCCAGTGAGAATGTACAATACAACTATATATACTGTGAATTACAAATAGAATCAAACGCTAGTCCAATATAATAATGTTGGAGAGAAAACTTAATTGGATATTTTTCCAGTTCATTTTTCAATTCACAATAAACAATTTTATTTTGTGTGTGAATAAATGCTAATGTGACACTATGGGTTAATCACTAACAGGGGAATTGTGGAGAACCAACAAAATAATTACATCATGTAGGCCAATCTAACAGAGATGACAAAAGAGCCGACCTTTTTCCCCCCAATAACATACTTTGGCTAAAATATGCAACTCTCATATTAATTTTCCAAAATGACAGTTTATAAGTTAAAGGGTTATTCTAAGCATCATGGCCACCGATTTGAAGTTGTCATGCTGAGTTGAGTCTGTTTGTATAACACTTCTCTAAGGAAGGCTGCACATACAAAGTGTAACCACTGTTGTCGGAAATGTAATTCCTCTGGCTGCGTCATTGGGGAATCATTGGTCCACTTAGAAATATAATTCCGGGCTGGCTAATGGGAATTCTGTGCAAATTTGGCATCTAGCACCAGCATGCAGTGCTCAACCCATGTCCACCCTTCAGCCTTCCCTCTCTAACACCCATTGCCCGTCTGCCTGGTGCTAGGTGCTGGAAGAATTTGTTTTTACTCAGACCAATGTTTTCTTGAAACACTTTTTTTTGGTTGTAGTAAAACTTTAAACATGAAAATACACAAAAATAAAAATTAACCATTAGAAGTTTTTACTGTGACAATCTGATTTTTGCAGCCAGAGACAGGCGTGTATGGGGATTAGTTAAAACTGTTGCAAGATTTTACATTTTCTAGAAGGATATTTTATTTATGTGCATGCTGCTTAATCTTTTTTTTATGTAATGTTAAAGGGACATTATAGTCACCAGAACAACTACAGCTCATTGTATTTATTCTGGTGAGTATTATCAGTCCCTTCAGGCTTTTTGCAGCAAACACTGTTTTTTCAAAGAAAATGCAGTGTTTACATTACAGCCTAGGGATACCTCCACTGGCCACTCCTTAGATAGCTACTTAAGGATCTTCCTTGGGCAGTGCTGCACAGTGTCACTATCCTCTGCATGGAGACACTGAACTTTCATCATCGAAATGCATTGATTCAATTCATCTCTATGAGGAGATGCTGATTGGACAGGGCTGTGTTTGACTTGTGCTGGCTCTGCCCTTCTTGACATTTTCAACCAATCCTATGCTTTCCTATGGGGAATCAGATTGGCTGAGATCATCTCTTCTGATGTCAGCCAGGGAACTAGCCAGCAGCACTAGACTGTAATAAAGGTAATATTTTACTATATTTTGGGAGCAAAGGGGCAAAGGGAGCTAGATGGTGGGCTTAACACTATAGGGTCAGGAATACATGTTTGTGTTCCTGACCCTATAGTGTTCCTTTAATGTGGATTGATAAGTAAAGTGTTGGAAATAGACAAGACATTTTAGGATGTGTAAATGTGTATGTGTAGGGTTTATTCCCTAAACAATAACCTGTGGTGAATGGAAAATTAACTGGCGTATTTATTAAAGTGATCATTCAAAGTGAAATTTAAATTTAATGTCAATAACCTTCCACTTTGCCTTAAATGTAAAATTCAGTTCAGTAAATAACCCTGACAATCGCAAAATTCTGTGTAAAACAGTAAAACAGCTAAGCTAGAAAAAAAGATTTTTTTCCCAAATTAAGTTTTTAATACACTACAAGCAAGGCAACTAAACTGTATCATGATTTAAAATGTGGGCAAATAAGCAGCCTAGTTTGCTCTAATGGTCAAGAAGTCTACCCAATCATGCGGGCTGTATTTCCTGTCCAATTAAGAGGCAGAAAAAAAGATGATTGATGCTTAGGGGACAAACACTTTCAAGTTGATTTTAGTGTGTCAGTGTGGATGGGGTGAGTCAGTGTTAATTTTCCCCCTGACTTTCCCCCATTTTGAACTTAAAATGAGTTCTGCTCCCCATTGTTACATAATACAAAATAGCAAAAAAAAAAAAAAAAACACAAAACATTACAATCAATTATAATAAAACTCTCACCTCTATTATTGTTTTCAGATCCACAAATCCATATATATAATTTTGTCAACACAGAGTTTGCATTGCAAAAATGGCTGATATTGCATTATTGTAGCTGTTTTTGTAGTCATAAGCATTTTTTCTGTTGTTCTGGCTGCCCGAATGGCCTTTCCAATATTTTCAGTAACAAAATTCAGCAAAGCTGAACAGCGGTGGGAATTAATTTCTTCCAAGATATATTTTTTAAATCAATCTTTCTTTTATAAAGGCATGTGAGTTGGGTTACAGAATGAAGAAAGGGAAATGTATGAGTTGAATACAAAATATGGATATCACATCAGTGATTAACATTTCCTAGATAGTAAGGCCTCATGTTTTGTAAGTAGTTAGAATTTAAACACGCTAAACTGTTGCGTTTGGTAGGTAAGACATGAATAGGTGCACATGATTAAAACATTAGTAGGCATGCTATATAAAAACAGTGTGTAGGTTAACTAGGTAGGATAGGTAAACAGGGCTAGGTAATAGATAAGACCTTCTGAACTGACATATCAAACCGTATAGTCGCTATACCACTAGGTGCTGGGCTAGGAGACCTCCTGAGGTGAGTGTTAGTGGCTATACCAAGCTTGAGTTTACTAAATTATCCTATTAATAGTAGTGGAAAGAAGTGGAAAAGTATGTTGGGTTAATATGGTACAGGTGAGTCCACAGTGTCTACTAGCTTCAAGTAAACAGGTATAACAGAAACATAGGCATACTCTAAACTAACAGTCTATGGCATTCAAGAGCACTGTATAATTGTATTGTTCATCATCAGCAGGAATCAGGCTAGACAACTCTTATCTAGTTAACAAGTTAGGTGTAGCTTTAGCCTAAGCTGCTTATAGTGGTTCCACTAATTATGAGACAAGCCATTTATGTGGGTAGAATGCTCTGCTGCACATGTGTAGCTCAATTTAATGACACGAATGTTACTCTGTAAACTGTGTGAGTTACTGCCAGAGTTGTAAGCATGGTAAGAATTTTAAAAACTAGGAGTGGTAGAAGCAATAACGGTATCAACAGGACAGAACTGCAGTTGATATAGTGTTTTATTTCTAGCAATTGTCTTTTTTATTCTTAGCCAGTGCTAGAAGATCTTTTATTTTTTATTTTTACTTTGGCTAAGATGCCCTTGTAGGCACAGATTCGCTACAGTTATGTTAGGTGCATCAATAAGCAATTAGGATCTATGCACCGGCACTAGCTTAATTCTGGTTATTCTCTGGGTTCCTATTATTATGTAATTTTGAGGTACACTTCCGTGACATTCTATTATAAGACTATACTATGGCCCCCTCGGCTCCTGTACCCTTCGGTAGCCCTTAGTAGTATCCTTTAGCTTCCGGCACTAGAGATAGCATTGTGTCAAGTGATCTTATAACTGGGATATTTCATTTGACACTATAGAGAGACTTCAGGCTCTCTGCAGTAACAGACTACAGAGATACATTGTCTCCACCCGACTAGTTCAGTGGAGTTACTGCAACATTGTACCTCATCTTTCTATCAGCTGCCACCTAACTTATCTGTGGTAACATTGTAACAGTTATACCACAGTTTATTTTAGGCAATACTTTTGATTTATTACCAGCTGTTATACCTCCATTGTAGGAAATTTCTTTGATGAATTACCAGCTGTTAAACTGTATATATTGTATATATTTTCCCTTACCTTTATCCTTTATTCAGCCACTAATATGCTTCCCCCTGACCCCCCCCCCCCATTTGGGTTTGATTTTTTTTCTTTGTGTGATCTTATTAGAGCTAGATTCCTCTCTAGCCACTTAACTTATCTATTAAAAGTTACATTTTAATTTTATTATTGGCCTTCGGGACAGAACATTTCCTTCTGGTAAGAATTTTAGCTTTATGATTACACAGTGCTATGCTTGCCTGTCTGAAATTAGTATGCTAAGCCTAACATATAAGTAAATTAAAACAGGCTTTAACAAAATATTTAGAGTCAATGATTGCTGAGAGCCAGAGTGATGCATCTCCGCGAGAGAAGGTGGCATGCAGCTACATTGTGCCGAGTCTTTGGCTTGCGTCTCTTACTCCTCTGGCCAGCTTTCACCCAATACCTGTGCTGACCATCTGAGTCAAGTATGGAGACAGTTTCCGGGCAGTCCAAGCTAGGCTGCTCCGCCAGCCCCAGGCCGTCTCAAGAGCCTCTGTACAGATCCCACTGCTCCGGTTTCCCATGCCACCGTGAGCAAAGTCTCGGTAAGGTGCTTTCGCCGCTTGAGCTCATGGTTTTTCCTGCCGAGGATCTGGGTCATGCACCCGGGTTATCCCCCTTTGGGCTCTCAACCCTGAAAGGCAGTAGCAAGTGTTGGGCGACTCGGGATAGGATGTGGATTTCAAGC